CCACTTGTGCAGTATAGGTGTTAGATGGTTGTGTCCACACCCGAGTGCTGAGCAGAAGTGGGCGAGGGTGTGTTGTAGTATTGAAACAGAGCCTCTCTATTCTGTGCAGCTTGTCGCACTACCTGGTTTGAAGTGACTCTCAGAAAGGACGGAGTGTTCTGTGCTCTCTGATCGTACACACATGCACATGCACTTCATATGGAGGCTCCAGGGCTGTGCCCTCTGCTATTGTTATTGCTGCGAATCACCACACAGCAATCCCTTCCAGATGGCCCCTGCTTTTCCCCAGCCCAATTGAATTGTCCACGTGTATGGCAGTAGCCTCACAGAGCAAGTCTTCATATGTTGTTGTGCCCATCCTAAAACCTCCTCTTAATGGTTTTTCAGCAGGATATAACAGCATAACTTAATATTTCTCCTGCAGTGGACGGAGTCTTTTTGCCCTGGTTAAGGAGCGTGCCCTAGAGAGCCACTTTAATGTGTATCTTTGAAAGCAGAGATGCTTTTTTGTGAGTGTGATGTCATGGATTTGGTGTCTATCTCAGATGCAGCAGAGGCTGATTAGCTGCTGCTGTTCATTTGTCCTCAGTCACTTGGACAAAAAGAGCAGCTAATGTAATGCTCACGTGAGGAGAAGCATGTAAACAGGGTTGGGTAGTAACTGTGTTATATAATCAGGATATAAAAAACAGGAAACTATATTCCGTTACAGTTACCGTTAAAGAGAGAGTAATCAGATTACAGGTATATTTTAAAAATGCAGGATGGCATTTAAAGTGCGTGTACGCAAAATTGCCATCTTTCGTAAATTTGCCATTTTAGTGTCAAATATGTCACGTACGTCATGTAGGCTTGCAGAGCTTTTATTTTGGGGAAGAAGCGGAGGGAGAAGAGACTTGCTGCCAGGATAGGTTTTTGAAGAATCCCCCCACGCAAGCAGTAGTTTGCGATCTTTTATTCAGCCAATCTGTAGAATTTTTAGTGAGCATTATTTTGATTGGCAAAACTGAGATCTGCAGCATTTTGAGTGTCATTTACCCTGGATTTACACAACTCCGGATTCTACAGCAGCAAACTGATCTGGACGTTTTGTTCATTTTTATTATCATTTGTTGCTACATAAAATTCTATACTTTGGCTATAAATAAAACTTTGCAAATGTTAACTTGCTACATTTTAATGCAGAAGTGAACTAACATTAACAGTTCTGGAATGTGAAAAAGCCTTGTGAGTGGCAAAGTTGATTTCATTTTCACGTTTTTTTTTTCTTCACAGCTTTTTGAATGATGGGTGCAAAATGTAAACTTATGTAATGTGCAAAATGTAAATTATCATTATTTGTAACTAACCAATGACTTCTGTATATAATCATTGTTGATGAAGGGTCTCAAAAGAAGATTTATACTAGACTGATTTTTTGACTTTTGATTGATACAGCAGTTACTTTTTCCCTGTGTTTTAGTATCAGAGGTTTTAGTCTCAGTGTACCAGAATTTTTAATTCACCTCTTAAAATTAGTCTGGGCCTTGTTTTCTGAACTTGTCACGTTTGTCACTGCTCATGACTGTAAATGTCTAAACTCAAACAAATTATACCATACAGGTATAAGGTTTGAAATATTCCCATATATTGCTCCACAGATTTGGCTGTTTTTATAAATGTGACCTCAGTGACCATGTGTGAGGCAGAATATTTAAGTCACTTATAATCTATCATTCTGTTTCATAAAACAGTGCAGTTGTTGTGTTTGCCTTGTGTTATGTTAAATTCTTGTTGAAAAGCTATGTGTAAATTATTTAAAACTGTTTTTCTCTTGTCTTTATTTAATTAAATCACTTTAAAAAGACAAGTAATCCAAAAATAACAGATAGTAATCAGATTACATTCATACATACTTTAATTTAGGTTACAACGACATTTTTGCTGGTAATCAGTAAACCCTACATATTTATTGTAACCCAGACATGCAACACAGGTCAGCCTGAACCACTTGTATGTTATACGGTGTTAAATGTATTCAGTAAAAGCCAAGAGCTGCGGTCTCTCACCTGAAAGACTGAGCCATCCAATTGCCATCCGGTTTATATTTGATATGAATAACAATGATATCATGGTTGATGTATTGCTAGCATTAGCATCAGCATAGTTGTTAATTGTCAGTCAGATTATTAAACAGTTTGGGCAAAATTTACACAGTTTTCCCGTACACCAAATGTAGTCAATCAGTCAAGACATGTTTGACATATGAAGTTGAAGTCATCTTTTGTACTGGAGCTACGAGACTAATGTAGCTAGCAAGTAAGGGATACTTATGGGTAAAACAATCAGCGTTGTACAAGCTGCATGCTTAAATCATCACACGTTTGCCTCAAAGCATTTTGAGTTGTTAAGTAATCTCAAACAGACTTACTTATGTGGTTTCTGACACTGTATTACTGTTATCTACAAAAATATGGACAAAACTCAGGCTTCAAGTGTGGTTGTTTTTAGCTATGCAGCATGTCCTCTTTTATAGACAACAATATCTTATATAAACACATAATCAAGTCTGTGTGAGATTACCTAACAACTGGAAGTGGTTTGAGGCAAGTATGTGATGATTTAGGTGTGCACTTTGCACATTGTTAATTGGTGATGTATAAGCTTTAAAATGTTTTATTGTCTAGTATGTCATTTTCTTTCGTGTATCTCATGATCTTTCTTTTAATGATTAGACTTTCACCCTCAAAGCGTGCTAGTCGTACATTACAGGAAGACAGTGTAGGTAGGCAGCTGGAAGGAATGTCTCCAGCCTGTCTGAAAGTATTTTGGAAAGCAGAGAAGTTGTGTCACACAGGTTGGGCTTAAGGGGGAGGGCAGTGTGCGTCTAGGGGGTGGTGGGGGATTAGAACTCCAGAGGGAACATCCTGCACTCCTGTTTTAACTCTCTCATCTCTCACACAGCAGACATCAGGGTTGAGCTATGTGTGGCACCGTCCGTCTGCCACTGTGTTCCAGCAGGGTGTGAGGTTTCGTCAGGGGTGTTGATTTTGAACTTCACATCTGGCATATAATGGCTCTACAGGACCCCTGTGGGTCTGAGTTAGAGTAAAGGAATCATGCAGAGACATCACCTCTTCTTCATACTGTGTGTGTGAAATGTATTTAATAGGGTTGCACCGATACAGCAGTTCTAGACCAAAGCTGATATCCAATTTATCTGAAATTTTTTCATTGACGTATCTGCCGACACCAATATATAAATGTTTTTTATATATTTATAAACAGGCATTTTCAAATTATGTCAAAAACTGAAAAACAACCAAAATGGAGATACAAGGTTTTCTTCTGACAGCAGCGCTGTGTAGTGTATATTGTATATTCAGAAAAACATTCTTTATTTTAATTCCTGTTACATTTCAAGTCATTTTGGATCAGCTCTAATAGACCATCTATCACAAAACGTTCACACTGTATAAAGAGCAAGTGATGGAAACATATAAAAAACAGGAATAAGTGAGCTTTTGATAAGATTTAATGAGACAGGAACTATATATATATATATATTTTTTTTTTGAATAACATGTCATATTAACTATTCAAAAACTTATACATGTTATGAGATGTTATGAAAGAGACATCATAGATGGTTATTTCATAATTAAAAGTATTTTGGGAACAACTAGAAGTTATGACATGGTAAAAAATGTTATTCATTAATAATATGTATTGATCTATTTATGGTGAAATTACTAGGAACGACTGTTTGATCAGCAAGAATTTGTTACTAGTTTCTGAATATGAGGCATTGTGGATATTCATTTTATTGTAAATTCCCTCTCGACGCTGTAAAGCTTTCTCAATCGTTATGGAATCATCTACAACTTTTTTTTTTTTTTTACAGCTCCCATATGGTTTGAAATCCGTGGAATATTAGCACCATATTAGCATCATTTTATACATGTATCTGCAACAAACTTGGTTTTATTTTATTCAAAACAGTGATTCCAAACTTTTGAATGGTGGTGTTTTATATATTTTGTCCTGACAAGGTATAAAAACAACGTGTGTGTGTGTGTGTATGTGCATAAAGAGACAGCAGGAGATGGCACTGAATGGATACAGTCAGCCAGTGGGGTGGTCCATGCACTAATCCATTGTCAGAGAAGATTATTCGCCTCTCTCCTCCTCTATCAAATCACCTCCAGTCCTAGTGGAACGTGTCAGATAGACATTACTCACTTCAAACAGAGCATTATGTTACACTGAGCCGTTTTATCCAGCCACTCTTTGTGCCTTGTGTTTTTCGGGAAACAGTTGTAGAGACTGGCTTTCATACCTTTAACTGTAAGAGTTTCAGCCTGTAGAGCCTCTGCAAGCCTTACTGATCAGCAGTCCAATATTGTCTCTGCACCACTGATTGGGTAATATAACTATGAGTAAGAATTGTACCTTTGGAATAACCCTAGCATCTGCCTTTTGAAGGCATTTCTTAGTAAGACCTGTGCTGGAAAATTTTGCTTCTTCCTTAAAGGTTGCATTACTTTTGGTATTCCAAAAGGATTAGTGAGCTTATGCTAAACACCTCATTGGAAATTTAGTGTTTTTTTTTTCTTTTCTTACCCTTTAAAGGGCACCAGTGCACCGTTAATCTTGTGAAAATACTGCAGGAAGCACAAAGTAGAAGAAAGAAATGGATACAGTAAGCTTTAACAAAGCTCTGCTTGGATTCTCTTATCTTACTGGCACTGCAGACAAACTGCCATAATCCGAGCAGGAGTTCAACTAAATATCTGCTCTCCTGGTTTGTTCACATAGATCTTACTGCTGATGGGCGTTGTAGTAATGTTGTTTGTGTTTTTATTTCTTCAGGTAAAATACATCATGGTCATTGCCACTGTTCTTCCAAGATTGCAGTAATTCATAATAGGATGGTTTAGTTTGTTCTTTGACTTTGATCATTCTTTTTGGCATTATTTTTATGTGAATAGTGAATAGTTTGGTCTGTTTTATCTGTACAGGTGTTGTCGTGGGTGCTCCTGTTTGAACAGTGGTCAAGATGGTGGCCCTGTCGCTGAAGATATGCGTGCGGCAGTGCAATGTAGTGAAGACCATGCAGTTTGAGCCCTCCACCCCAGTGTACGATGCTTGCCGCATCATCAGAGAGAGGGTTCCTGAAGCACAGACTGGACAAGGTACGACTTTCCAATGGGAATAAGTAGGGGCTGCACAATAAATCATTTACTATTTATTATCGCAACATTGGCCTACAAAATACTGATATCGCAGAAGGCTGAAATATCCAAATGAGCCCTCTAACCAATCACAAATTGTTTATTGGGTCCTAAGACCATTCTAACCAATCACCAATATTCCTGATGAATGTTCTATGTTTAAGAAGTCCAATGTTTAAGCATAGTAAATATTCGATAATATGGTTTTCATATGTCGCAAGGCATATGTAGTGTAGTGTACTACAACAGAATCACGAAACTTAACTTCGGGTGGGGACAATATGATGAGATAACTATTGTGAGACATGACACGCTACAGTATACTCACCCCTAGTGCTCTATCCATGTTGCAGTATTTATTAATTATTATTTATCCATATTACAGCTCTGTAGTATTTTAGCTATTGTGAAACACAAGCTGCTTTATGCTAAGCCCACTGTGTAATAACAAATGTGCACAAATCAAGCCTTTGTATAGACATTAGGCTGATTGAAGAAGACAGAATATCATAGATGTTCTTCCCACCATTTATGTGCTATATTTAAATATGACTTTCACCCGTTTTTATAATTAACATTCAGAATACACTTATAGAAAGGTGTTCATCAGCAGTATAGATATAAATATATATTTAATTTTATTTTTCTTTGTACGAACAAGCAAAATGAGCCTTTTTAAAGGGGCTGTGGGCTGTAGATATTTGTCTCCCAGGTTGGAGCAGCAGAGCTGATAGGCAGCACAAGGCTGCTCTCTAATTCTGGCTCAAAGTGAACTTGATGGATGAGAAGGCAGAACTAGCAGAGGAGATAAAAATCTGTGTCACCACCACTCTCTTTCTTTCTCTTTCTCTCTCTCTCTCTTTCTCTCTCCCTCTCTCTCTCTCTCTTTCTCTCCCTCTCTCTCTCTCTCTCGTTCGTTCTCTCTCCACTCCAGTCATCAAAGTGTCTCAAAGTCAAACACTGGGGGCTCAGTGTTTATTGAGGTTTGCTGAGTGCATGGCTGTGGGCAGTAATGTTGTCTCTGCAGGGGGTGTCGTTTAGGCTGAGGCTGCAGCCTCTCTACTCTGTGTACACTCATTAGACTCCAGGCCAGATTTATACCACCCTGTGCTGCATGGCCAATCTGATTGCCTCCTTGAGCCACAATGAATTGAATTCTCCTCATGAATGTCAGTTACATTCACAGAGGGGTGTCATCAGCCTCAGTAACTAATAATGGGTTGTTTTGCTTTGAGAGCTACGTTTATTTCATTAGTTTTATCAATGAAATGCATTTGTATCCAAAACTCTTTGATAATAGTCACCCACGCATCCAGTTGTTGTTTGGCAGGTATGAAAGCAGGAGCGCACGTGATCATATAATAGATGAAGCAACCTTGAGTGTAAGAATTGTGTATTACAAAAGGGTTAGATAAATAAATAAATAATAACTAAATAGTTGGCTGGTTTTAATTCCAGTGTATGAGGTCTCTCACTGTGACTAACATTTTCATCTTGCTCTATTCCAGCCTCAGATTATGGTCTGTTCTTGTCAGATGATGACCCCAGGAAAGGAATCTGGTTAGAGTCTGGACGTACACTGGATTACTACATGCTCCGGAATGGGGTAACAGCACAACAGTGTTTAGCATATGAACATTTAGTACATCTGCTCAGACATCTTTCTAGTTCACCTTTTCTTTAGTCACTGATAAAAATTCCTCACAATGGTACTTATTCTTCAGTTTCCATACAGCCAGATTTCTTCATAAAATGAGCATGTTCAGAATTCTATATTGATCAATCTTATTGGAGTGTGTCTTAATTTGACAGTAAATATTTTGACTGGAAAAAGGTGGTTTTGCAGTTAAATCATCATTTTTTTTTAAACAACATCATAACATCAGTATATCAATAGTAAATGTAAACATAGAAATGCTTCAATGCTCGATCATGTCAGATTTAGCAGTCCTAGAAGACATCAATGCTATGTTTGCATGTAAAAGGGTCTTCCATATCTGGGCGGCTTTTTTCATGGAGAACAGCCGATGGCTCATGAACCTGCTGTGTTCTTTCATTTTATTGACTCACACCTCTATGGATTAGCACATTTTTCATGTAAAGTATATGTATGTGATTAATTATATGTATTAGTTATATGTATAATTGGGGCTTGTCCTTTGTAAATTATTTAAATTAGGTTCTTGTTTCTGCGCAGCAAAAAGCTGATTCATTAGTTGCGGTCAATTGTTTCAGTGTTGTACGACAGTTTTATTAATCAGACACGGAACAGTTTCTACGTCATTCCAGCATCTGGACTCTTTTCTGTCATTTCCACACAACTGTAATGAATCGAAGCCAATGTCTCAAGAGCGCTTGCATAAACCTTTAGGTTAGTTTGTCCTGGTTGAGTTTGTCAGTGTTTGCTCTCTCTGTTTCACTTTTACAGGATGTTTTAGAGTACAAGAAGAAGCAGAGGCCGCAGAAGATTAAAATGCTTGATGGGGCCATCAAGACTATCATGGTAGATGACTCCAAAACAGTGGGAGAGCTGCTGGTCACCATCTGCAGTAGAATAGGTGAGTGGTTCTCACTCCCACTGTTCTGCATTTATTCCTTCCTTACCATGCAGCCTCCTGTTATTCATCTGAATTCTTTGTGTGCTCTGAATGGATTTTTGCATGCTGAGAGCAGAGAACTGAAGCCTCTGCTTCTTTGATGGAGCGTTCTCATGAAATTCTAGTGTTGCCAGGTGTGAGTTTGGGAAGAAGAAAAACAGCTTGGCTTTAGAAATGCTCCATCACACCCTCCCCTCCTCTCTCGCCACTGAGCTGTTCCCGCAGCAATAGATTTCAATTATAGCAGAGGTGGGCTGGAGTGAAGTGGGGTGTGTTTTGAGGAGATGGGGGTGGGTGGGGTCTCTGGCAAATGTCTTTATCATCTGCTGTTTGTTTAGAGGCTTTCTGTTTCACTTGAGATCACTTTGCCTCTTTGGCCTGCGCCCATGTCTTGGAAAAAATTAAAAGGCATTAAAATGGCTACTGCTATTGTTTTGGTAGTGAATGGGAATTCAACATCCAACTGGATTTGTATTACAGCAAAATATAACATTTATTTATATAGGATTAGAAGTACAGTAAAATTAATAAAATGTAGGTATTTTAGCTTCATCTTAAAATGATATGTAACAAGTACATAATCAGATATCAACTTGAAATGTTGGTTAAATCTAAACATCTGCCTAATGCCTATTTAAAGTGTGACAAAGTATACGACTACTAAAAAATGAAAAATTGGGCAAATTTTGGGAAATATTTTGCTGAACTGTTGCTTTAAGAGCTTATGGAAATGAGAAATAGAGAGAGAAAAAATGAGAGTAACAGATTTTAAAGAGAGAGTGAAGAAGGTAAAGGAAGAGTCTCTGTCTTTCTTCTGTATGACTCTGCCTTGTCTCCCTCTCAGGAATAACAAACTATGAGGAGTACTCGTTGATCCAGGAGCAGGGCGAGGAGAGGAAGGAGGATGGCATGGGCACACTAAAGAAAGAGCGCACGCTGCTCCGAGATGAGAGGAAGATGGAGAAACTCAAAGCCAAGCTCCACACAGACGATGACTGTGAGTCTAACTTTTATGTGGCAGACATTTCCCTCTCACAATCACTTACACACACACACACACACACACACACACAAACACACTCACACTCCATGTTAAAGATATACCAAGTAATTCACATATTCGCATATTGCATCCGTGTTTCTGGCTTTGTAAATACAAAGAAAGGGAAAGGTGTAACTTTCACTGTCAGCCCAGCAGCTATAGATAAAAAAGAAACTTATGTGCTGCATGCCTACATGCCTATTTAACCCCTCGAAATCCCAGGCTTATTACATAGTAAGGCTTATTATTCAGTAACTACAGGGATTTCGGTGCAAACTGGCTGAGGTATTCTTAGGTTCTAGAAGTGTGTAATAAAACTTTGGGCCTGCCGGTGGACCCTGGCTATTTAAGGGGTTAAAGATGTGGTATCATTTACTGATATATAAATGCTTTGGTCCCACTTTATTTGGAGAGCCTTCAATAGATTATCCATCGATATTGGAGTTATTAACAAACTTTCTATCAAAACTCAGTTGATTCTCAACAGTGTTAGGATTAGGGTTAAAATTAGGACCAGTGTGAGGGTTAGGTTTCGGTCGTGGGTTCAGATTATCAGGTTTAGGGTTAGAGAAAGTTAAGGTGAACTTAAGGTAAAGATAGTTAAGGTATAAAGCAAGATAAGCGTCTACTGGGTGCTGTCCAAATAAAGTGTTACCATGCTTTTTTATGTTACATTAAGTGGAAAATTGTCTTAATAAATCTGAATTGCATCTACATCCATCTACATTAAGTTCTTCAAGTTGCAGAATGTTATTCTTGAAATTGCTGCGTTGACTGAATTTTGTCCTTTCCCTATTTGAAAATGTTCAGTTTGGCTTACATTAATGATTTCTAGTATGGTCATACAGTAAGGTTTACATTAAGCATTATTACAATCACAGCTTTAGGCAGTTATCAGTCACATCTCACTGTAAGTGGTCACTCTGTTGTTTACAGTGAACTGGCTGGACCACAGTCGGACGTTCCGGGAGCAGGGAGTGGAGGAGAGTGAGACGCTGCTGCTCAGGAGAAAGTTTTTCTACTCTGACCAGAACGTGGACTCCCGTGACCCTGTCCAGCTCAACCTGCTTTATGTACAGGTCAGCTCACTGCTCTCTAGTTCAGGCTCAGAGTGAGACTTGATGGATGTGAAGTCAGAACACTGAGCTGAGTAGATGGAAATCTGTCACCACGTCTCTCTCTCTCCCTCTCTCTCTCTCTCCTTCTCTCTCTCCTCTTCTGTCTCTTTTATTCTTTTTCTCTACCTCCATTCCATTCTCTCTCTCACGCTCTGTTCCTCTCGCTCTCTCTATCTTTCTCTCATTCACTCTCTTACACTCACCTCTCTCTCTCTCTCTCTTTCTCTCTCTCTCTCTCTCTCTCTCTCTCTCTCATCAGTGTATTAATTGATGACTGTCTTGTTCTGGGTCTGTCATGGTGTCTGTTTCTCTATTCTCTCTGATAAGTGATTATGTTCTTAACCTTCACTTCGTTCAGGCCTCTGACAGCATTGTTGGTATTTGCTGAGCTTCATGGGTGTAATATAATATTTCCTTGCCTTCAAACCTGAATTGCTTGAAGGCTCGTGAAGCAATTAGGCTGTCTTCATGCAGGCTGGTTTATCAATTGCCTTTTCCGCTTCAGTACATACATTAGTACTATAACAGCCTATGGCTGCCGAGCTTGATTTCTCTTCAGAATACTTCACATCCACACATTCTCTCACACACACACACACACACACACACACACACACACACACACACACTTTCTCTCTTGGTCTCTCTCTCTTTCTGATGCTCTTTGGCTCTCTATCAGTGGTTGCTTTAATCATATGCCAGCTTTCACACAATATTGGCAAAACAGTTGATAACAGGGTGTTAATACCTATAGAGCTCCTTCTGAATACAATTATTAGAACTGTTAAAACAGCAGTTGTAACAGCTTTGCCATGTCTGCAATACAGTCCATCCCAATAGATATACATAGTATTCAGAAAACATTCTGAATGTTTCATCCAGGATCATTGGGAGCAGCTTTAGGGTTAAGTTTGAGTGCTTTGAGTAGCAGTGAGGTGTAAGGATCTGTATATGTAGTACATGGCTTAGTGCAGATGCATTAGACGGGTTGTGTAATACAAGTTGACTTTTACTCACTAGAGAGCTGTGCATAGACAAACACACACACACATGCTCTTCACATGTGCAAGAAAACAGGTAAGTCAGTAAATGTCCCCATTTAAATGTAATCATGATCAAATTTATTGCTAAAGATATCAAGGTTCCAGAGCTTGTGGTGTAAATATGTTGCAACAGTAGTAGAAACGGTCATGACATCTGAATTTTGTTCATATTTTTGTCCAATATATACAACCCCATTTCCTAAAAAAGGTGGGATGCTGTACAAAATGTAAAAAATGCAATGATGTACAAATCATTTAAACCCTATTTTATTCGAAAATAGTACAAATGCAACATATCAAGTGTTGAAACTAAGAAATTTTGGATGCCCATTTTGAATTTGGTGCCAGCAACACTTTCCAAAAAAGTTGGGACCGGGGCAACAAAAGACTGGTGAAGTTGTGTAATGCTAGAAAAAAAATGCCTCCTGGTTAATTGGCAACAGATCAGTAACATAATTGAGTATAAAAAGAGCATCTCAGAGAGGCTGAGTAAAGATGAGGAGGGGTTCACTACTTTGTGAAAGACTGCACGATCAAGTAGTGCAACAATTCAAGAATAACGATAAGAATAAGCAAAGGAAAGGATTTCATCATTCACCATACATAATATCATTAAAAGATTCAGTGAATCTGTAGAAATCTCTGTATGCAAGGGATGAGGCCAAAAAACAGTATTTGCTAGCCATGATCTTTGGGTCCTCAGGTGTCACTGCATTAAAACCGATTGAATTTCTTTAGTGGAAATCACTGCTTGGGCTCAGAAACACTTCTGAAAACCACTGTCTGTGAACACAGTTCATTTAAGATGGACTGAGGTGATCAAATGGACTGACTGCAAATCTTTGACACTGTGTCCTCCAAGCTAAAGACCAACAAGCCTGTCAGTGCACAGTTCAAAAGCCAGCATCCATGGGGGTGCTTTAGTGCATGTGGTGTGGGTGACTTGCGTATCTGTGAAGGCACCATTAATGCTGAACAGTATATACAGGCATTGTCAATGTATGCTGTCATCCAGAAAACGTCTTTTTCAGGGAAGGCCTTGCTTACTTCAGTAAGACAATGTCAAACCACATTCTGCCCGTATTACAACAGCATGGATCTTTTGCACAGTACTGTATATCAACTCAAGTGCAAACCTAAAGAGCAACACTCAGACACCACGCACGTCTTACCTGATTGACTACATTTGATAACAAGGAGAAAAAAAAATAGATGAATTTGAGCATTGAGCTGTCACTTTAAACGGCAGTTTCAGATGAGCCCAGAGATGCATTTCTATGTGTGTTTTAATTCTTGTCTCTGATGTGCTCTCTTTCCTTTTCCTCAGTATTTGTTTGTGCATGTTTGTTCATAGGCACTCATGAGTAAGACGCTAGCACAGTATGCATACACACACCCACATCCACACAGTGTTTGTACACATTTGGAGAGAAAGATGGCTCCCTCCCTTCTCCTCCCTCTGTGTCTGTTTCCTCTCTCGTAAAGCCACACACCCCCATCAAATTCTCTGACTCAGTGCCACATACACCCACACCCATTTACTCACGAACTACAGGAGATCTGCACACGCACACAGGCTAAAACAGCAAAGCACTCACGATGATAAACCCGCGATTCTCTCCTTTGTGAGCACACACACACTATTTGGCAGTCTACTGGAGGGGATTTCTTTGCCCCACATGGTCAGCTCAGTGACTCCACCTTAAACAGGGTTGACAGTGTGTGCGTGTGTGTGTGTGTGTGTGTGTGTGTGCGTCTATGCATTTGCGAGAGAGCACTGACATTATTATTCAATCTATTCCATGCAAAAGTGCCACTGTCAGCACTCTCCCAGTGGCTCCCAGGACACACACACACACACACACACACACACACATAGTAAACCAGCATAGGTTAGCAGAACTCAAAATAATTAAGGCAATTTGTCAGTGAGCATTTCAGTCAAATTTGATATTCAAAATTTTAGGGCATTATTCAAAAAATAAAGGATACTTACTAAATATGAACAAAAAATTGCGTATTCATGAGCATAAAGATATGTTTAAAATCTGTTAAGCATAAGCATAAAGATATGTTCAAAAACTAGAACTGAAAAAAATATTCAGACCCAATATATTTATTTATACAATATATACTCTTTGGCAATAATTCAGCTCATCAGGTTTGGAGAAAGAAGGGTTTTGCATAAGATCCCAAGTGAAGAATGGAGGTGGGAGCATCATGGGAGCTGCTTCTCTGCAAACAGCACTGGAGCATTACACATCAAGGAAGAATTATTGGAAAGAATATATGAGAAGAACATAGTAGAGAAATTTTAATCTCATCACACCAAGAAACTGATACAGTCAAAATAACTCAAGACAGGTTTCTACAGAAAAGGTGTAGGTGCTTACGTGGCCTAGCCATCTCCTGACCTGACTCCCATTGACAGTTTTTTTTTTTTCGTAAGCACATCAAAGGGACTTTTGTAACCTTGGGGAATTGAAGGCAGTTTGTCAAAAGGGTTGGGCCACAATTGTAATTGTCAACAACAGCTTTGTAGCAAGTGGTCTCTGACTCTGACTTCATTTGTGGTGTTTGAATTATTTTTCCCCTATCAGTTCTGGTTTTTTACACATATCAGTAAAGATGAAATGATATAAAAACAGGATCTAGAAACGCTTCTCTGGGCCTGAGCTTATTTAAGATGGAATGAGGCGAAGTGGAAAAGTGTCCTGTCCAGTTAATGAAAATTGGATATTCTTTTTGGAAATCATCGATGCCGCGTCCTCTGAGATAAAGAGGAGAGGGAGCATCCAGCTTGTTATCAGCACACAGTTCAAGCAAGACAATGCCAGACCACATTCTGCACGTATTACAACAGCACGCCTCCATAGTAAAAGAGTCTGGGTGCTAAACTGGCCTGAATGCAGTCCAGACCTGTCATCCGTTGAAAATATTTGGCACATTATGAAATGAAAAATATGACAAAGGAGACCCCGAACTGTTGATCAGCTGAAATCCTATATTAAGCAGGAATGGGAAAACATTTCACTTTCAAAACTACAGCAATTGGTCTCCTCAGGTCCCAAACACTCATAGAGTGTTGTTAAAAGAAGAGGTGATGCAACACAGTGGTAAACATGCCCCTGTCCCAACTATTTTGAAAAATGTTGCTGGCGTCCAATTTAAAATGGCCGTATATTTTTTTCAAAGAACAACATTTTTCAGTTTCAAAATGTGATATATTTTCTTTGTACTATTTTCAAAGTAAACAGGTTTTAAATGATTTGCTCATCGTTGCATTCTGTTTTATTTACTCTTTGCACAGCTTCCCAACTTTTTTGGGGTTGTAATGTGACGTCAGACGTAAAACCCATATCATTCAAGGTTCAGTAAATCTATCATGGACAGTTCTTTTTACTTAAAGCTGCAACAGGGACTCTACTAAATCAAATTGTACTAATTTGATGAACTCAAAAAGAAGAGTAACACTCATATTTTTTACTTTAGTGTTTCTGCTGTTTTTTTTTTCTTCCCTCAGTCTAGTTAATGAATTTCAACACTGGGGCTTCAACATTTGCTGAGGGAGGGCCCCTCATACACAAGCTTCACTCGTCCATTCATGATGTACAGTTTCTATGACCTCATCACCCACTCCTCTACCACGCAAATCCTGCCAAGTCTGTGCTCTCACCAGTGTGTTTGTGTGCGTGTGTGTGTGTGTTTTGGCTCAGGCTTGTTGTTCTAATTACCCAGCGCTCATTTGCCTTTTGTGTGTAAACCCATTGCCTTTGACTTAATGAGAGTCAATACACCCTACTTTTGTTAGTACCCTTTTGGCAGAGCTTTCACTAGCTCAATCCCACTACTGTACATTTCTCATTATGTCTATCTGTTATCTGTCCCATGCCCTGCCGGCAAGAAACATGCAGGCTAACCAGGCCTCAGCTTTGGAATCTTTGGCAAAATCAATACGAATGTGTGCTCTGTGTGATCTGTCCCGACATGCAGCCCACAATAGGTCATATGCTTGAGGCAGTATCATGATCCTGCATTCTGCATAGTATACTTCAAAATCCAAATTGGACAAGAGTAGTCCATACAGTGGGTCATGATCTCTACAGTATGGATGTCAAGTTATTTTCCTGGTATAATTAGTTAAACACAATTCAGAGATTTGGAAACACACCTAGGCCTAAACCTTGTCATTAGGACTGCACAATATATAATTTGTTCATTACAGTATTGGCCTCTAGAAAACTGAAATTAGAAGTAGAAGTTCGCAAGCAGTCTAAATGGAGTTATTTTAAAGTGCAAAATGAAATGTGTAATATCTGCAGTTTTGACTGTGGTTCGGTTTTGACTATGGTTCAGTTAGGCTCCTTTCTGTGAAACATGATTCAGGTAGCAACTTGTAAATTGTGAATGTAGTAGGGCCATGTAATATGACAGTATTTATTAATATTGGGATAAATTATGTAATATTATGTCACAATATACTATTTTTTGAGCATATTGTGGATATCATCTGTACTTAAAGGATACTGACCAACTGCCTGTTTAATCATAAAAAGAGCATAATTAGTCCTGCTTTTATTTCATTTAGTGCAGCATAGTATATGAAACACTGAATAAAATTCATTGTATTCATAGTTTTTGAATTTTTTACGTGTTACTACTGTTTTTTTGTATGTTCCAACATATAAAATCTCAAAAAGACAGAATATCATAACCGTGTATAATGAAAATGTCTTTTTTTTTCTTTTTGCCATATTGCAGCCCCCTAAAATACTGTTGGACCTGTAAAAGGGTTATTTCATATAACTAGTGCAAATAAAACAGAAGACATCAGTTCAGAGTACATACCACTATTCACATGACAAAAATGATGTGATTGCACTGCAGCTAGCAGCCACAATAGTAAGATTGGTCAGTAAAATTGAATCATAAAGTCATAAGTCATTAAAAACACTATAAAATGATTAGGCCAGAACAATACATATCAGAATATCACACTCTGAACATAGTCAATATAAAGTGATTTTACTGTAATAGATTAAATTAATTGTCAGCCTGGCATATCTAACCTAAATTGAATTGGCATTACTAACTTTAATATACTTAAAGTGTGCATTATGAAAATACAGATATGAGATCAAATTTGTTATCGGCTGATGCTCAGGATGAAAAAACTCTGATCTAATAAGGAGAACTGGCCTGGCACATCCCTAATCACAGTATTTGTGCAATTAAACATTGTTTTGGTGAAAGTAATTCAAGCTACACTGTAAAGAATAATTTGATATTTTAACTTTAAAAAAGTAAAGTAACCTGATTACCATAAAGAGTTTATTGGATGTCAAATGATTTTACAGAATGTAAAACACAGATTATTGTTCTGTTAACTTACTTAGAAGTTCCGTAATTAAAACATTTTAAGGCAACATTTTTTAGTTCATTTAACATCAAATAATGTTTATAGTGTAGTCTTTAACTGTTACATTATTGATAAACAATGTGATTAATTTATTGCAAGGTGGGTCACAGTCACAATGTGTACTTGTATACATATATGAACAATATATCATGGTAACTTTTCAGGAGAAGCAAAAACGTTTTAACTTTGGAAGTTAATAGAAAAAGTATGATCATTTTTAGCATTTTAGCATTTCTGTTTCTCCATTCATCATTAATTTTAACAAATTGTAAAGGGCAGCTGGGATTTTCAAATCCTTTAAAAAATAGTTATAAAACCGTCAAAAATGGACATACAAGGTTTTGTGTCAACACTGACGATATGTAATATACTGTGCAACTCATAGATAAAGATATTCATATCTTCTGGGTTGAAGGTGTGTTTGAGCAGGGAAATGACCAAACTGTGCTGACCGAAATAGACACCCCAGCTTTAGACTGTGAATGTGACTGAGTTTTCAATGTGTGTTTATGTTGCAAACAAATGCAAACAGTCCTTGGCATAAATCGGTGCCCCTGTGGAACCCTGCAGAAGAATAAGAGAGAGAAGGATAGAACTGCTGCTCCACAGACAGGCAGACAGAGTGTCGACATGTCTTAGAGGTGCCAGGAGGACTGCCATTTCCTCCTCCCACAATCAATGTGTCACTCCCATCTATCCAGCATCCTTCACGCAGAGAGAGAGAGCAGAGTGGATGACAGAGAGGACACTACAGGGTGTCATACATGCACACATACACACACACAGTAACAGATGTGACTGAATTACCCCTACACTGAAGCCAGTGAATGCCACTCCTGTCTGATTCAGCTGCTCACAGTCATTCATTAGCTCCCAAAGCTGCTTAATTCTGATGCAGTGCCACACACAGCTATGATGTCATGTCCTGACACACAGCGGGAACTCTGCAATTCATAGCAGCTGTGGCAGTGCGCTAACCAAGATGTCCTTTGAAGACACTACTAGCTCTTTAACCCTTTGAAGTCGACAGGTCCACATGTCGACTTTAAAAGTAGTATAACTACACTGAAAAAGTGATGCATTATGTTTAGTTGTGTCAAATGGGTACGTAATTTCCATAAGAATACCATATAGTACATGAACACTATTTTGTCTTTCATTCTACTTACTTTTGGCACTACGTATGCTGATGTTGTATTTTTAATTTATGTTGATGGTGTCGTCGTGAATACCCTGATTATTGTTTAATTGGAGGCTGAAGATTCTGCACAGGGAGGAGCTTTTAGCACTCAAGTTGTATTTGTGTCCATTACTGAAAATAATTAAATGGCCATGAGCCCAAACCAGCAGGATCTCCCAAATGCATGTTGTCTCTTCATGTGTATATAGGAAGTAAAGGCCTGAAAACCATACTAAACCTGCCATACATAAGTATTGTTTAACAGATATAAAACAACAATGTCAACAAATAGGATTTTAAGTAAAAAAAACAAAAAAAAACAATAATGTGTGCACGTGGCTATTTCTGATGTTTAATCTGCTCTTCTCCATTAATAAGAATTTCTGAATGTGGCTATTAGATTTATTTGTTACATTTGTTGCTATGTAAAGAATAGAAGTTAACAGAGCCAAAACCTGTGTGCGTGCCTCTTCTGGCGGCAGATTTAGATGAGTTAAAGGGGCCGTCGTCAAATACTCGAAATGGATCACTAGTGAGATACTTGGTTTAAATGTTTGTGCTTAGGTTTGTGTTTCCATAAGTGGTTTCAAACTCTGGGAAAATGTATTTACACCTGTTTTGGCACTAACAGAACATGGTTTGCTAACGGAAATTAGCATTATCATAATGATGGTAGTAATCAAAAGTAAAAGGTCGAAACTATTTATAAAATCAATGTTCAAAGCACTTAATGTTTAGACACTGTAATATAATGAAATGCACGGCAGTAACATGTCTTAATGAGTATACTATAAAGCTTCCTAGTTTATTGTTTATTACACATTTCTACACTGTAAGATTATCTTTTAGTTAGCATTGTAGTCCATATAGTTCTAGAATAAAATGCCTTAGGATTTTGGGATTATAAAGGGTTTTAAAAGAGATTACTTGATTGATCATGAGTATAATAATAATAATAAATAGTAATATAATAATAAATCTTGAATTTAGAGAATTAAAGGTAACAGCATTCGTAATTACTGCATTTATAATTACTGATTGTTATAGTAGTTACTGAATAAAAAGTCTGAAGATTAATAACTGAATAATAAGCATAGAGTTTAAGTGTATGATTAAGTATCTGTTATGACAGCATAGAAGACAGTATATGTATTATATGTCTGAGTGTTTCATTCTATCATTACATAGGTGTCAATCATGAAGCATGACGCATCTGTTGTTCTTCCACATTTGTTCCTAGTCTCTTTGTTCGTTGCAGTGCATACAATGCTGTCTTGTGTCTTCTGTTGTGTTCCAGGCCAGAGATGACATCCTGAACGGCTCCCACCCAGTGTCCTTTGATAAGGCCTGTGAGTTTGCTGGAATCCAGGCGCAGATCCAGTTCGGCCCCCACGTGGAGCATAAACACAAGCCTGGATTCTTAGAGTAAGCCTCCATGCCTAATGGCTGCAGTAGCATTCAACAGCCCGTTCAGCGCTGTTTGAAACACTCATACACATTGTATGTCAGCAGATTTTATAGTACGATCCCCAGCTATCTGGAACACTTAAAGTTTAACAGGAACATGTTGAACACTCTTGTCAAATATGCTGATGTACATCTTGCTGGAATGACCTCATGTGTTCTGATATTTTGGGTGGATGGAAAAAAGTACCTCTGCTTCCTGGGCGTAAATATGTGACATGTTGACTTATTTGTAGCCTGAAGGAGTTCCTGCCCAAAGAGTATATCAAGCAGCGAGGGGCCGAGAAGAGGATCTTTCAGGTTTGTGCTGTGCTGCCTGTGCACACTTGTTGGAGAAAAAAATCGATACAACATAGTACCACAACATTTTAGGTAAAAAATAATAGTTACACAAGGAGGCACAAGCCTTATTATTTACTTATTTATTCTTTTAATTTGAATTAAGCCCATTTTGTATATGTATTAAGCCTGTAGGAGTCATTGGCAAGACTCCTAGCATTGCATTCACCTACTGTTTTAAGTCTCTGCCTAATATATGCTGAATATGTCATTTTGAACATTTCTTTTTGTGATTCACAGTATGTTTTGCTTCAGTAAAAAAGATTGAAATGCGATGAAACAAAGAGTTTTCTTTTGGAGCTATCATATGCAGTTGGAAGGAATCTTAATATAAAGCAATATATCACATCACAATGCTTTTCTTTTTCATTTCACAAGAATCATATTGGTCATCATATGGTAATCATATGGTAGAATCATATTGTGGGTCAAATATCATGATAATAATGTATCATGGAAGCGCTAGTGATGCCCACCTTTACGGAACACATAATACCAAAGAAGTTAATTGTAAAGAAGAGGTAGTGTTTGGGTCCTTTCTATGTGGTAGTACTTAACTTCGATAAAGCAATCACTCAGAAGCAGACTGAGTTACAGGAGGTCTGTGAGTGTTATGCCCACCCACTGCCGCTGAACAATTAACATTAAGCAAATTAACCTGATTAAATGATTTAGAGCCTAATGAGCTCACTGGCTGCTTGAATTGCTGAAGCATGGTGAAAGCATGTAGAGCTGCAAGTGTGGATCTCATAGTGTGTATTTTATTTTAGTGTGTACTTTTTAACCTGCAGGACCATAAAAACTGTGGTGAAATGACAGAAATCGAGGCTAAGGTGAAATATGTGAAGCTCGCTAGGTCACTACGGACATATGGAGTGTCTTTCTTCCTAGTGAAGGTAAGACATGATGACAAATGTGCTACATGGGATAAAGTTAGGGCCATCTACTTGATTGCACTATTAATAAAAAATAATATTACAATAAATACAAATAATAATAATAATAATAATACAGTAAGTAGTAAAATGTGTTTGTTTAACCATTTCCAAACCTCTCCTCAAGAGAAGCCCAGTATTTGTTCTAGTACTTGTTTTGGCAAATCAGTGCTTCATTAAATTAAATCAAGTGTGCTGATGATGGAATTTAATAAATCTATGCAATGACTGGAACATTGAGGTGAAGTCTTGAACTAAACATCACAGCATCTCAGTTGTCTTTAAACCATTTTAAACAGGTAATTCTTGTTACTTTTTACTATATCTATTAGAATAAATGGTTATAAATAGTATATTAATGTGACTTTTGCATCATACTGCATGTACAAATATATATATAAATAATAAAAAAAATATCTATATAAAAATGGAAATAACATTTTTAAGGCTTTCATTTTTTTCTTTTTTCTAGGCTTTTTTCCAGTATGTCTATATATATATATATATATATATATATATATATATATATATATATATATATATATATATTTGCTGTTCAGTTCAGGCCATTTTTATTGATTACCCTTTTTTCCAGTTTCCAGTGAACTACTCACTGTATTACTGTGGTACTAGTATAATCAATAGTAGCCATAGATAAGATGTAAACAGCATTCTCAAGCAGTGTGTGTATGTATGTGGGTGTGTGTGTGTGTGTGTGTGTGTGTGTGTGTGTGTGTGTGTGTGTGTGTGTGTGCCCTGAGTGACAGCAGATGGGAAAGTGCACTACACTGAGGATTTTGGAGGGAGTGTTCAATAATTCATTTTCCCACAGCTCTCAGAGTAAAGAAGTGTCAACAGTTCACACAAGCGTACAGATATGTCTAAAACACCCTTCCATTTCTGGGAACTTCTCTGTGTGGTACATATCACTCTTTACCACACTGACCGAAACAAGCTCTCCACCAGGGCTGCAAATTATGAGTATATATGAGCAGTGTGACTGTCCAGAAATATTCTCCTACTGCAGTTGGGAAGTGAAGCTTGTTAGCATGGATTATTCAGAACAACACAGTTCAGATGATGAAGAATGTTATGATGCCCAACTATGCAAATTTAAACAGTACAACATATAAAGTAAACTTACAGTTCGGATATCCATTATTTCAAAACGGTAACCAAGACAAGATTATGACTGTACTTATTTATAACTATTTACAGTCTCTATTATGTACAGAATTGTTTGATAATGGTTGCCATAAAATCCATTGCTATGGTCAGAATGGCTCACATAATCGGGTTTATCAGCGTCTCGGTGAGGGATCAATTTCAGGTCATTAGTGCTCCACTGCTAAGTCCAGGGAATTCAATTAATTGCTATGAACAGGCACTTGACAGAAACCCTGGATTATACTTCCTGGAGACTCATTATACATAAGCTGTAGTGTGTGTGTTTATTTATACATATGGGAAGAAATGCAGCTGAAGCTGAAGTGCTGTTTCAGGTGGCCTGGGGTAGATTGAACTAACAGTCAAAAACAGACACCAGAAAAATACATCTGTATATACCAGAATAACATAAACTAAAACATCATGTACACAAAGCATCTGTCCTTGACTAATGAGCACAATAAGACAATGTGCAAGCTTCAAAAATCTATATTTAAACTCTAAAATATGTCCTTGAATGCGAGGTAGTTTGTTCATGAGGATTTTGAACAATATCTGTCGTCCATTCTGTTTACTAAGCCATTCTGCATTGAAGGTTCTTATCAGTGCTTGTTATTTTTGACCCCAAGGTTAAACAATAGCCTGAGGACACATTGTGAAAGGTATTTTTGACAATCCACTGCACATTACAGATCTTTTGTATGGCAGTCTTTGCTTTTTGGCTCGGTGCCATATACCGGCCTGCACTCTGAGGTGTCTTTGTGTGTGTGTGTGTGTGTGTGTGTGTGAGAGAGATAGAGAGAGAGAGAGAGCTGCACTGGGATGAGGCAGCGCTGAGGGTCCCCAGGCATGGCAGAGGGCAGCAGGTCCAGGCCCAGCGGCATAGAGCAGTGCCTGTTAGCCACAGAAGCCTGGCGCGCCCTTAGCAACAGAGCAACACAAGGCTCTGTGTAGCCCTTTTTAAGCAGACAAGAGACAAGAAAGCTGTATAACAACCCCCATCTTGGCAGGTCACCGAGGGAGGACAAGGGGGAGAGACAGAGAGAGAGAGAGAGAGAGAGGTTGAAATAAGGATAAGAACACGCACAAGTTCTCCACAAATGTTATAGTACTGCAATAACAGCCTGCCTTTCTGAACAAAGAGCACTTAAGTGTAAGTGCTGTCCATCAAAAGGTTACCGATACCTATCTTTTCAAAACGTTTTTAATTCAGATGAACCTTTTTCTTCGTCTCTGTGCCGTAGTTAACATAATAAAGACTGGCCAGGTTTATTCTCAGTTTGTCATCACATTCGTGACAATATCTGTGACAAGTCATAGTGCTGAGCTGATATGTCACCTGTGCTCTGACATAGCTAAGTGGCACAATACATACCCAAAGTATTCATAAAAAGCTTTTTTTATGTTAGCAAGACCTTTGCAGGCATTTTTCATATTCAGTTGGATAATAACAGCAAGAAAATCCATATTTCCAAAGAAGGCAGAACGTTCCGTAACATTTTGTCAAGCACTGTGTAATAAAGCACATTAATTAAATCCATTCATTTTGTTAGTGTGTTTTGTCTTTAAAAACACCATATTACAATAAAATAAACACTAATAAACATAAATACAATAAAAAGTAACAATAGCTTCTTGTTGGTGTTGGATGATAATTACAATTAATACTGGGCTTCCTCTGAAAGAGGTTTGGAAATCGTTAAATGAAAACACGTAAGTTCTGATATCACTACTTATATATATTAATATTATTCAATATTTATTGTAATTCTAAATAAATATAGTTTTTTTTCAGATGCATAAACCTTTTTGCACAGTACTGCATATTTTGTGCATTATATAATGTAGTACATGTTGTTCTTTGCTTGAAGAGTCTGTCATGTAATGCTACAATGATGTATACTGTCCTCCAATAGGAGAAGATGAAAAGCAAGAATAAGCTGGTCCCACGCTTGCTGGGCATAACCAAAGAGTCAGTGATGCGGGTGGACGAGAGGACCAAAGACGTGGTGCAGGAGTGGCCCCTGACTACAGTGAAAAGATGGGCTGCCTCCCCCAAGAGCTTCACACTGGTATGCTCCTCCTTTTCAGCCTTTTAGCTCACCACAAGCTTGGCGCTACTTTAGCATGATGAGCACTGGGCTTGGTGAGCTTGCTTTGTCTGTAGGTTCCTGTTATTAGAATTAATTCTGTTCCTCTGTTCCTGTGTTTGAATATTTTCTTATTGAGGCAATCTGCTTGAGCAACACATAAGCAATTTGTGCTTATCTGTAGTACTTCACCATGTGGTATTACTCAGCTCTAACACAAGTAAATTTATAGTTCTTCTCAAAGTATCTTTGGAAAATTTGGACTGAGTGTTCTAGTAATCATAGTTAAATGTTTGCAGTTTTAGACTCTAAAAATGAGCCACAAACAATGATGAAGCCGAAATGTTAGCTTCAAGAAACCCATGTTTGTTTGCCTGTCATGGCTCTGGTTGCAACTGGGTTGCAGCTGAGTTTCAAGAGTGTTGCAAGACATTTTACATTATGTATGTTTCATGTAAAGCCAGCCTTACATTACATATAGACCATCACAAATTTCCTGTGTGGTGTGAATGCTCAGATATCATTTATAGCGTGCTATAAATTGTAGGGTCATATTGATGGTTTATAGAGAGCTATAAACATATAGAATGTACCTCAAGGTCTTACTGTCAGTTAGAAAAAAAATGGTGTGCTAACAAACAGACTTAATGCTCTTGATTGTAATAGTTAATTAATTGTGTTTGTGTGTGTGTGTGTGTGTGTGTGTGTGTGTGTGTGTGTGTGTGTGTGTTTGTTTGCTACAGGATTTTGGGGAGTACCAGGAAAGCTATTACTCTGTTCAGACCACAGAAGGGGAGCAGATCTCTCAGCTTATTGCAGGCTACATCGACATCATCCTCAAAAAGGTAAGGACTCTTAGCTTCCCATCATCTCCCTCTAACATTGTACATACAGCTGCTTATTCACAAAGTGATGTTGGATCTGTGCAGAAACAGAGCAAGGACCGCTTTGGCTTGGATGGAGATGAGGAGTCCACCATGCTGGAGGAATCAGTGTCCCCAAAGAAGTAAGACTGCAGCATACACCCTTTCTTTTTACACTGTGATTAGCCATTGGTTTATCCTGATATTGATTTAACATACGCTTGTAACTGCTTATTTGTAGTAAAAATAATGATTCGTCAGTTATATTAAGGGTCAGGTGGTGCTGCATTGATATAAACTTAGGCTGAAGAGCTCCAACGATGATTGAGAAACAGCGAAATCAGCACATGATTTAAACACATATGTCTGAGTGCACTTGTCTGCTTAGTATGGTTGTTAGAAAGAGGGGCTGCATTTCTTTTATTCTGCCCTTGAGAAGAGCAGAGCTCGCAGCAACACAGCTCTATTATTATTTCACCCAAAATGCAAAATCATCAGGAAGACTTCAATTAAGATATCCAGTTCCTGGAAGCAGACTGAGAGAGAGAGAGGGGAGTGTGCATATATATGTGTGTGCGTCCATTTTTCCCTCTCTCCCTGCAGCGTTCTTTTTATCCGTTCCGGGCCCAGGCTCTGACAGAATCTGATATACAGATGGGCTGCTCTCCTCTAAAGCAGTGCTGGGTAGCAGTTGTTATGGGAGACCGCATGTCGCATCTCTGCCTTGCAGCCTCCTGCGCAAGACACTGGGCAACAGTGTCTGCATCTGTCAGCATGCCAGTGCACTCGTGCCTGTCCACGTTACAATCCAAAAATTGAGGCTTCTCACAATGAGCTGTAATTAAGCAATAGAGCCTGGAGCGCCTGGAGTGCCTGCAGGAGAGAGTAGAGACCGCTTGATTGCTTTTAATGCCTGCTTATAATTACTACCACAGTGGCCGCTCTTCTATATCATTTATTGGAAACACAAAAAAAAATGTGCACTGTGCATTAAAATTACCATATCATCATAGCAATTTTTCTCACTTTTTTTGATAAATGACTTTGATATACTATGTAACATTTTTAAAATATTGTTTACTCCCCAGACCAGATATGTAAACCAAGCAGCAAAAACGGCCTGGTTTTAATTAATTGTGGCTGTGATGTCTCAACCTTGGCCACCCCTTTCATATAGAAGTGATAAGGAGTGTTGTTACTGCGGACATAGCATAGTTATTACAGCAGGGGATAATTATTCAATTTTGTGCTGTTCCTGGCTGTTGGAAAGCAAGTACATCGTTGCTGACATCCAAAGGGTCTAGATATCCATATATATATATATTGATTGGAATTGAACAGTTTGTTCTAAACATTTCAGCCCAAAGTGCTTTTCAACAAGACAGAATACAGGGCAGCCAATAAAAAGAGGGTTTGTTTATATATCATCACACTCAGAATAAAACCTTTTGTCTCCAAAGTGGTAATTTTACAGGAGAATAAAAAAAACCTTCACTCTCAATGTAAGTTAATGTTATTTTGGACCATAAGCATTGGTCCATTGGTCATGAAATTTTGACACAAGGGCAACTGGTACTTTCAAGAAAGGTTGTCTTGTACAGGCAAATAAACAAAACCCTAAGGGACAAAGAGAGTTTGGAACATGGTTATATAAAAAAGACAGATATTTTCATACATAATCCCACACTGTCCACTTACAGTGTTTGTGTGGTGATGATTCTAAGTGTGTTCGAATATGTGAAAAAATGTTATAAGTGAAATGAAAATATTTGGTATTGGGTCGTGTGTGTAGGTCCACTATCCTGCAGCAGCAGTTCAATCGCGTGGGGAGAGTAGAGCATGGATCAGTGGCACTGCCTGGCATCATGCGTTCGGGCTCCATCGGTGGACCGGACACTTTTAATATGGGCACCATGCCTGCCCCCCAGCAACAAATCACTACAGGACAGATGCACAGAGGACACATGCCCCCGCTGGTGAGAGCCATACACTGCAGCCTCCTCACAATCACCTGTGTAAAACCTCACTGCCCCTGCACTCCTGTTCATTCTGTCTCTTATTCATGAGATTTGCCTGTGAAATAAATTCTGTGTACATTAGCCTTATCACCTGTATTGTGTGTGTGTATCAGAGCCTGGCTCAGCAGGCACTGATGGGCACCATTAACAGCAGTATGCAGGCAGTGCAGCAGGCCCAGGCTGACCTCGGAGAAGTGGACAACCTGCCTCCACTGGGGCAGGACAGGGTGAGCACACACACTCACACTCCTTGCACTGCAACAATGACCATTCTTGAAACATGGTTTAATCCTTGGAAGTCACAATTATCACCAAGAAGCATAAATGTACTTCTATATCAATTATTGATCGCTAATAGTTTATTTTTATTTATTTATTTATTTATTTATCACTAATAGTTTATTAAAATAAGCAGATAAAAGCAGGGAAATGTGCAGATTCTAAACTTTCAGTAGTCTGAGACCATATTGAAAATGGATTTTTTTCATTTGAACCTGTGAATGAAAAACAGAAAGTTTTAGAATTCAGAAAAATTTAAAACAAAAAGTAGTATGACAAGTTAAATAAAGAAGATGTTCTTCTTCAAGACAATTCTGCAAATTTGTGCAGGTCCAGGTCCGGGTCTTTGTATGAAAAGAGGTGATTTTTTTAGTCTTATCTCTTTCAGCTCTTAAGCTCTTGTTCAGACGACTCTCAGACTGATTTGATCTACTCATCAGAGGCTTTTGCACAAACGTGTGGAGTCCATGTCAGCTCAAATGCACAATGTCATTAAAGCGAAAGCGTGCATAGTAAATAAGAAGAAATTCTGAAGTTGATGTAAATTATTCAAAGATTCTACTGTTCACTCAAATTGTTATGCTAATAATCTACCATGAAAACACTTTAATTTAATTTGGAAGCATTTTGTATAGTAGATATTTTGGCCTTACTGTATTTAATTAGCATTTTTAATGATTTTTTGGGGGTTTTTAAATCTAATTTTAATTGCTTTAGGAAGGCAGCCATAATTGCTATAGGAAGGCAGCCATTGTTCTGGTGCACATACAGGTCAAATACATACAAAACAGGCAGCATAAGGATAAATATTACTTAGTACGGGCAAAAATCCAGTACCATTGAAAAAATCTGCATTGTCTTTAAGGAGTTCATGATTTTTAAGAAATTTGATGGAAAATTATTGTTGACCACACAGTCCTGTTCTGTGGAAAGGAAAAAAAAACATCCTTTTTCGACAAGTGATATTTCTTAACATGGAGGCATATAAAAAAGACTGTGTTTATTATGGAATTATGGAATTTATTTTGGAATTATGGAATTATATTTAAATAATTATGTAACATAAATCATGATGTGTGAGAATAATAACTGAAGACTTTTAAGGGTTAATGATTTTATTAAAACAGTTCTTGATACTTACAATATGTGATAGCATTTTTATCAAACTGACTGTGAGTTTTAGAGTCGGGGTCACTCACTCGGCCGAGTCTCCACACGCAGTGATTCAGACGCAGAGCAGGCTCACTGTGCTTTGACATGTTATGACTGTGGATGTGGAAACCATGAATTGTTTATTTGATCTGAGATAACACCGATGTTCTGTATTGTGGAGAAAAGCCAAGAAAAACAGAAACTAGTGTAAATATGACTCCTTGTAACTGAGAATTTTGTGTACTGACGGTCGTCACATCTCTCTCCCTTCTAAAAGGCATCCAGGGTTTGGGTTCAGAACAAAGTGGACGAATCCAAGCATGAAATCCACTCGCAAGTAGATGCCATCACTGCCGGAACTGCATCAGTGGTCAATCTGACTGCAGGTAGATATGACTGTGAGATCATTCCATCTGTGTTCTCTTCATCTGTTGCCTCCATTCCTCCTGTTTGTTTCTCTGGAGGAATGCTTTTAAAGTCAGGTACCAGCGTATGTATCATGTTTCGTAATGGCCCTGGCTGAATCGAAAATCATTTTATTAGGGTGTGGAAAGAAAGTGCTGACGCTGAAAACATGAAACTGATGGGTCAAATATCAACACATGCCTTCATCCAGTCCACATCAAGAACACAGTCAGGAAGCAGCCTTGACTTGCTGCTAAATAATGAGCCACTCTACATTTGCCCTAATAAATATTTCCATTGATGAATGAATATGGAGTATGGTGTCCTGAAGCTGAACTGGTTGGCAGGCTTGGTGTATTCCTCCCTGGGTTCTGGAGCAGTGCCTCACAGGCCCAGGCCAGATTTTGCTGGATTTAATCTCAGAGTGCCATCTGTTTGATAGGCCAGAGATTTGCCCATTAACTACCACCCAGAAACTTTTACGCTGTTTCCAGCCCAGTCTTTACATCTGTTACTTTCTATAGCACAATACTGCACATACTGTATGGGTTGTGTGTGTGTGTGTGATTCAGAGTAGTAGCTTATTTTTGGTGTATTTCTTTCATTAACAATTGTTATAACTGTGATAATTATAATTACAGTATCAGCATTTAATAGATAAAATTCATTTTCAGAACACTCTCTCACTATATCTCTCTTTGTTCTCTCTCTGTCTCTCACCCTTCTCTTTCTTCTCTGTCTTTCTACCACTATCTCCTCTATCTCTCTCTCTGTCTCTCTCTCTCTCTCTCTCTCTCTCTCTCATTTTTTTCTCTTTCCTTCTTTTACTCTCTCATTTTTTCTCTTTCCTTCTTTTACTCTCTCTCTCTCTCATTTATTCTTTTTCCTTCTTTTACTCTGTCTCTCTCTCTCTCTCTCTCCCTATTTTTCGCTTTCCTTCTTTTACTCTCTCTCTCTCTCTCTCTCTCTCTCTCTCATATTTGTTCTCTTTCCTTCTTTCTCTCTCTTTTTCTCTTTCTCTGTCTCTCCAGGTGACCCTACAGATACAGACTACACGGCTGTAGGCTGTGCCATCACCACCATCTCCTCTAATCTGACCGAGATGTCGAAGGGTGTGAAGCTGCTGGCCGCTCTGATGGAAGACGAGGTGGGCAGTGGTCAGAACCTGATGAGTGCAGCCAGAACCCTTACTGGGGCAGTGTCGGACCTGCTGCGGGCCGTGGAGCCAGCATCCGGAGAGGTATTCCTACACACTGAGCCCTGCGGTGTTCTATATCTGAGGGAGTGGTCAGTATACTAACACTGATGTGCCTTTTCAGCCCAGGCAGACGGTGCTGACAGCAGCAGGCAGCATCGGCCAGGCCAGCGGAGACCTCCTACGGCAGATGGGAGAGGGAGAGACAGACGAGAGATTCCAGGTCAGCTTTTCATCTCTCTGTGTCTTTCTGTCAGCTTCTATGTCTATCCAGCATTTCTGCCAGTCTTTCTACACCTGCTGTTTCAGACGTGCCCATCATACACACTGTGTCAGCCTCAGACCCTGCACCACACAGAGACTTCAGTAATACTGTCACTTTTAAACGCATAAACCCTGCGCTCATAATTGAGTTATCGATCTTCAGACTGTTTCAGTAACTACTATAAATTATTTTGTAATTACAATAAATGTATGTATGTTAGTGAGAATTCTTAATCAGTATAATTATTACATATTAATAAAAAACTTTTTATTGCTGACTTTCATACATTTAAATGCTCAAAGTGCTTCAAATAGCAAAAATAAAAACTATAAGCTATTAATGCTGAAATGTTAAAGCAGAAAAAATACTGAAATCGAAAATAATAAATATATACTACAAATACAAATAACAGTGAGTAAAATAGGGAATTTTAATTAAGCAAAGCAATAAATAAATACTAATAAATCAGTATCAATTAATAATGCAAATTTAAAATCTCACTTAATCCCTTGAACTAAAATGATCTGTATTTGGGCCTACACTTCATTTCGGTCTCATTACTGCATAACTTGCGTATCATAGCAATTACTGAGTAATTTATGACAGAGCGTGTTCGATGATGTTTCAGGACATCATGATGAACCTTGCCAAAGCAGTGGCTAATGCAGCTGCCATGTTGGTGCTGAAAGCGAAGAACGTGGCTCAGGTGGCCGAGGACACGGTGCTGCAAAACCGCGTCATCACCGCGGCGACACAGTGCGCCCTCTCCACCTCCCAGCTGGTGGCCTGCACCAAGGTACTACCTCCCACTTTCTATAGGCTTAGTGACTACAATGCTGACTTAAGTGTAGCCCACTGTAAGCTGAGTGAAAGCGAGGAGTGACTGCTGTACTGTGTGAAAAAAGTGTGTGGTGGTCTGAAATATAGACCCTTATGCCTCTGCAGCCTGTCTCCTTTATTGGATAAAACAGTTTTGGTCATTGTTTGAATTAAAGATTTTTTCACTAACCCATATTGTTATACAATGCCATGCTGTGTAGCTGTTGTTGTTTGTATGTAGCAGGTCAGTTTGTACTGCCTACTTTCTAGACTGATGTCATACATAATGCTCTTGCTTTGTCAGTTCAGCGAACACTTGAAATTTGCAGAATATATCCTTAACCCGAATGTAACTAAACAGCCAAGCCATGGGTAACAGTAGGGACACCGTTTAAACATGCACAAAACCCTTTATTTCAGACTTAACCGGTGCACCTTTGCATGTCCATATTGCAACACCCATGCACAGTCATTTAGTGCAGTGCCATTCTCTCATAGCTAACAACAGTATCGGATTCATTATGGATTCATATCAAGTTTAATGCTTACTAACTTTGGGTTAGAAAATCTTGAATTTGATGAAAATAACCAAAGTGATACGTGAACTAAATATTGTGTATAAAGAAACTGACAGAATATCAATTTTATATGATGCCTAAAAACACCTCAAATGTTTGGTTAGACTGTATTTTGGATAGTATTCTAGCTACTTGATGACTAATTTTAAACCATAATAAGCTGGTATCATTTATTTGTTTTTCATGTTGAGATTTATTGAATATGCAGAAGTAAAAGAAGAAGTAGTAGAGCGAGTCTGTCCACGTCAGGTGTACAAGCATATAGCCAGAGGCATCCCAGACAGAAGGCTGTAACTGAGACCAGAATAACATAATAACAAGGCTGTACTGTGTTGCTGTGCATTCTGTATAAATAATATAGCAGGTTTAGCTTAATTGCTAACAATATGAGGCTTAATGACAGTTCAGCTCAGCACTAAAGACATCTCTGTCATACAGTGTAAGAAACCACATAAGCATATCTGTTTGAGATTGCTGAACAACCCAATGTGGTTTGAGGTAAGTGTTTAACGATTTAGGTATGCAGGTTGGATGATGCTAATTGATGGGTATAGACTTTGGTTGACTTGTAAGCTGCATTAGCCTCAGTGTGAAACTAAAGAAGCACACTTCAGACACCAATCATATCTTGGCTGATCAGCTGCACTTGGGGTAAGGGGAAGATTGTGTAAATTTGATTTTTTGCTGAATTTAAGATAAATATAGCAAAAACAATCATGTTTACTTAGTTACAGTGAAAACTGGCAACTGGAAATGAAATACAGTCATGTATCCGTTAGCTCTTGTGCAGCTATATTATATAGTAGCAGAATGACAGTGGTCTTGCCTGTACTTTTCTCTCTCTCCGGACCCCTGCTGTAGGTGGTGAGCCCCACCATCAGCTCACCTGTGTGTCAGGAGCAGCTGGTGGAGGCTGGGCGGCTGGTGGAGCGCTCAGTAGAAGGTTGTGTGAAGGCGTGCCATGCTGCCTCAGAAGAAGCAGAACTGCTGAGGCAGGTGAACGGGGCGGCGGGGGCGGTCAGCCAGGCGCTCAGTGACTTGCTCCAACATGTCCGCCACTATGCCAGCTGCGGAGAGCCCATCGGCCGCTATGACCAGGCCACTGACACAATCATGACCGTTACTGAGAGCATCTTCACTTCCATGGGAGACGCAGGTGAGACGCAGATCTCTTTACCCTATTAAAATCCCAGTCTTATTATATACTAAGGCGTATTATTCAGCAGCCACAGGGACTTCAGAGCAAACTGGCTGAGCTATTCTTAGGTTATAAAAGTGTGTAATAAAACTTTGGGCCTTCTGGTGGGCCCTGGTCATTTAAAGGGGTTACCCCTACTATTGTTAACGATGCATTAAGAGACTTTAGTGATGTCGCAAATAACTCATTAAAATTTGCCTCCCAGGTTGTGATGCAAGTTAAATGATGCATGAATGTCTATGTTGGTTATAGTAAAATGAATCAGCACATGGAACTGCAGCTTTCTGTGGGCTACTGTGTTTTCCATCACAGTATAAAAGAAGCACAATATTGCCTTTATTGCTGGATGCATGTGCACACATTAAGATCTGAATTTAGATGGCTAAGGATTAATATTGATTTGCTACATTGTACGATGTGCTGGAGTAACAATAAAAGGTGACTAAATTATGAAGTATATTTTTGTTCATATGTTTGCTTTATTAGGTAATTTTTTGCTTTGTTGAATCATGTCCTAGAATTGGGAATTTGCATTATTAAAAGAGTATAGATTAAAAGGCAGATACTGCTGCTTTTTTCCCTCAACATTAAAGGGCCAAAGGGAGCCTTTACACTGGTCTGTATGAGTGGTTTAAAAAATTAAATGTGGTGCATCATGATGCAGCGATCTGAAGTTAGTGGTTTAGCTGATTTCATTGTGGAATATTAGAATTGATTATAATCAGGGCTCAAGTGTCAGCCCTTTTCGCAATTTTGATCTGTAGTTGGGAGTCCAAGAGAGCATAAATGGCCTCACACTCTCTTGGTGAGTACACTTTTTTAAAAATTTGCACCTTTTTGGGTACTCTGTCCGTGTGGTGGTACCCTCAAGGATATACCTCTAGTAACTTTAGTTAGTGGAACTTAATTTACCCTTTTCCGTTGGAGTTTTTTTTATGTATTTAATTTAGTGTGTTTCTAAATAATTCTGAATTGTACCAAAATAATCTAATTGAACTTGAGTGAAAATTAAGATTTCATGATGAACTGAATCATTTCCTAAAAAATCATAATTGGAACTGAATTGTTGTGAGGTCAGAGGTGGTTGTATGCAGACCTGTGATCTGTACACAGTACCCCAGTCTAAACTGTGATGTTCTTGTAGTAGCATCAGGTCAGAGCAAAAGAGAAGTGAGTGTCTAGTAGGCGGCCGGCCGGTCAAAGCACCAAGAGCATTCCGCACTGCAGCCCGAAATGGAGGCATAGATTAGATTTTCATGACTGGAAGGGGTTTATTTAAGAAAGAAGATCTCAGTATGGACCGTGATACAATAATACACCATGGGTCAATAAAGTCTTTCATTCAGATCTTCCAAGCAAAGCATATCTGTGTTGTGGCTTAAAAGGACAAATATTGTTTTAGCTTTTCCATCTTCAGAATTGCATCACAAAGGAATACAGCCATCATGTTTCCCATTAGAGATCCCACTCATTTTTCAGCATGTTCCTGTTAAGGCATTTTCATGCTCCACATCGCTCTGTCTTACACAGCCGTATAAATAGCTGTCAGGGAATAATGAATACTAATGTGACCAGTGGAAGGCTCAAAGCTTAGATTCATCAGATAGATTATCAAGCTTTATCTTGCTTTGTCCGGTGCTCGGTCGCTGTTTCGTGTCTTCAGTGCTATTGATGTTCTTGGTCTTCCTCAATTTATTTTGTCTCAGCAAGGTACTTTGGCTGTGGTTTCTATGAACTGACCTTAAGTTATACTCTGCTTTGGAACTGTTTTCAAACCTTCAGCTATTTGTTATGGTATGGCCATGAGGCTGAAGAACGTCAAACCCACTCTATACTTGCAGGCTTGTTAAAAACATGTAATCTAAAACCACTACACGGCTTCAAATCTGGTATCAATCAAGCACGCCCGCTTTGAAAAGTTAAAAGAAAACACATGACATGGGGATAACTTGGGGCTTGGCTGCTGGTATTCCAGCAAAACAATTACTATAAAAAGATATCAGATTGGATGATAAGTTGTAGATGGTTTCTAGATACAGCACTGAAAGTGTTTTGACACTACTGAAAGAGCACATCTAACTTCGTAGAGGTTACTCATCCCCCACAGAGACGTCTCTCTTTTGATAACAGCATCAGTGGTTTTATTTCTGGCTCCATGTAGGTGTGTGGGAATCCAGACACTAGAAACGTCTATACAGGCTTGTATAGATGAAGAGTGGGTATGATTTAAAAGCCTCCTGAATCGATGAGGTACTTCAGGTCACCTGTGTGCTTTTATTTCAGCACAGCTCCTGCAGCTGTGAATCCCCACAGAGCACTGCTTCAGTACGGCCAGTTTACCTCACATCAAAGGAACAAGGAATGCCTGTGTTTATCTCTTCAGTGTAGGGTTGTGTGATATGGAAAAAGTCCTTGCAATGGGATTTTATTCCTATGTACTGTGGCTCTGTATCTTTGCCTTGTAATACAGTGACTCTAAAAAGGCACGGTATTATAAGGCAAATACAGTGTACAGTGTAAATTTTAACCATTTAACCAATGGTAAACTTTAATGATTATGTTTAAGTTTCTTTATAAAATGGTTAATAAAATGATATTTGGTTCAGAGAAAAACACTTTTAGTACAGAGTAATTCAGACTGATTGTATATAGAAAGTTTGGAGGAGAATTCCAGCTAGACTGCTCTAAGAGCCTGTTTCCTCGCATTAAAATGTGTTTTGTGTCCAGATTGCATCTGGATAAACTTTGGTCAGATTCTATTTACGGTTTTCACTAAAATGCATCCCCAGCGTGACTAGATGAGATTCAATTGTTCCGTTTTACTTTTGTTTACTTTTCCCACTTTACTGTATGAGTGGATAAGTTTGACCTGGACATTTCATTTGGCCTGTTGAGCATGAATATCTTCAGCCTAAACTTCAGCCTCATGTGTCCTCCATCTTTAGTTTTGTTGTTTATTCTCTCTTTTTTTTAGTTATTGAAAACAAAACATAGTACACAACTTCAGATGCATATAAAAAATGCCTATAACAATGTACACATACATAAATACATTTGCTAGGGGGATATACATAACCACAAAAAAATCTTGAAGTACACAGAACAATTAACAGTTTTTGTTTTATAAAGGGCTGAATTAATTGAGTTTTTCAAAGGCAACAAATTGGCCTTTCGCCTGAGAATTTACACTTGAATGTAAAATTTACATGTGAATGTAAAATTTAGCCTTTGTTCTTTATTCTTTTACCTGCTAGTCGCCACTCAGCAGACACATTTCTGCTCACGTAATTGTACACAAATAATAAAAACACACTCCGTTTACACTTGAAATGCGGTCAAGATCCATCTCTGATCATCTCCGAATGTGATTTGAGTGATCCGATAGTAATCCGCTCACAATGTGTCTTTGGGGTGTTTACACCTGGCTGTTCGTGCTGTCATGTGGTGAGATCATGAACTCAGAATTGTATAAAGGCATTTTAGTCTGTGATGAAAGTGCTTTAATTGATAATGAACTGAAACACAACAGAAGCCTTTTTAGAGAATAGTTACAGTTGAAGTAAAGTAAAGTACAGTTGTGGAATGGTCTGCTTAAAATAATGCTACTTGTTTTGAAATTGTGTTTCCTAACACAATGAACTTGTTAAATGAATGGTTCAACAGAAAATGTAATTAATACACTTTTCCACTTAATCCAGATTAAACTGATCAACCACAATGTTTGATGTCCAAAAATCAACTTCTTTAGCCTAGTAGCTCCAGTTTATAAATAATGTTGCTAACAAACATTGGAAGTCAATAGTCACCCAAATCTTTTATGCAACTACATTCCCAAAACATCTCTCAACCCACTTAAACTACATTCATTAAAGTCCTACAGACTTGTCGATGTGGTTTAGGGCACATTATGACTTATTGTGAAAAAATAAAAATAAATTAAACTTCGTCATGTAGCTGAACGCTGAACACCAGGCAGCAACAGCTGTGCTAAATTCTGACTCCCTGTGCATGCACACGTCACACAGGCATATGGACTACAGATTATACAGTTTCTGTTGTTTCTTTTTAGAAAGAACTGTTAATCTTGCTACTAATCTTATTTTTGAAAATACATATGTTTAAAATAGAAACAACAGAAATCAACAGAAAAGCAAAAGACACACATGTCTTGGCTGACAACATCTGAGGTAACTGTTAAATGGTACACATGTCCAAATACTTTTCTCCATAAATTCAGAATGCAATAGTGAATCAATAATGTGACAAGACTGATCTGCACTATTTTTTACCAAAATTCAACTCTGTCCAGTTTTTAAAAGAAGCTATTTTAGTGGGCAGTAAGCTTTTATTTGCTCATACAAATACTAATATTAGCATAAATGCAAACTATATTAATAGTGTAAGTAGTGATTATACGTCTCTCAGCATACTTACTTAAACATTTCCAAACCTGTCCTTGTGGCAGGCTGCTGTTAATTGTAGTTATACTTCAGAATGTGGTTTGGTTAACCAGCTCTTCATTAAAGTTAATCAGGTGCACCAGTGATTAAGTTTAATAAATCAATAGGATGGTGGGGGGCATGGAGGAGAAATCTGGAAACAAATCTGTGTTCTAACCAACTCAAATGTTATCAATTACTTTTTGAACAGAAGAAATTCTTGGTAAAATTTACTGTATTTACTGTATATATTTATGTTTATTTGTTTTCGTTATAAATGTTATATATTGTTTTAACTCACAAAAACACACTGCTGAAATCAGTCGTTTTAAACATATTGCTTAGGTTCCAAAGACTTTTGCACTTTAATTTACGATTGTTGGATTATATGAATGATTTGATGCATTAGAACACCCACAGAAACTTTGGTCAAGATTCTCGCAGCACACAGTGAAAACACTGTGATTGAGTAAAGAAAGCTCATTTGTATACTGCAGCCCTCTGAGACATTAATATTACAAAGTGCAGTATTGTGATAATGACTGGCAAACAACAGATTATTCGGCTCCAGCTCAGTGTCAAGGATGGAGGTAATAAGGTGAAGCTGAAATTTGAAGGCAGACGTAATGATAAGTGTGTTTGTGTGCGTGACTTTATGCTGATTCTTAGGTGAGATGGTACGGCAGGCCCGTGTTTTGGCCCAAGCAACATCAGATCTGGTGAACGCCATGCGTTCGGACGCAGAAGCAGAGGTGGACGTGGATAACTCCAAGAAGCTGCTGGCTGCAGCCAAACTGCTGGCTGATGCTACTGCCAGGATGGTGGAGGCTGCCAAGGTGAGAAGGGGGGCTGTATATTCTCAGTAGCCCCGTAACCAGTGAATGATTGTCTGTCATGTCTGAATGGTGTTTGGATTAGCTAATGGGTCAGATAATGTCCAGTAAGAACGGGCATTTTCATTTCAATTTGTTGCTGATTTTTTTTCAGTTCAGTTTATTGTACAGTATGTTAGTATTGTGGTATTTTATGTTAGTACTGTCGTAGATATTTGCTCAGATTTCACCACTTTTGCTCAACATTGCTAATTTTATTTAAAGGTAAACTGACTAATCTTTGTGGCATGAATTGTCATACACAGTTGATGCCTAGACATGAAGGCTACATGTAATTATTTGCTGTGCAGTGTACCCATATAGAAATACAGAACATAAATGGGTTGCAACTGTGTCATATTTGAAGCTGTGAAATGCAGGCTTATGGTTCGTTAGATGCTTTTAATCCCTGACACGTTAGCCTCGATATCCCTCATCACAGATACAGGCGGGTGGCATGCAGTTTCCTAGGTAACACTGAAAGCTGCTGATGCATGTGCCTTGAATGTATGCATTAAGAGAGCAAGAGAGAGAAAAAGAATATACATGATTTTTTTCCTGCAATAGCTATGGTTTAGGCTTAGTTACACAGAACTGGCTTGGCTAAAGTGATTTTGCTATGAGAATTTTGAATTCCCTACTGATTTCTGACATGAAACAGTCTAAGATTCACCATCCTTATTGTGGATATATTTACGGGGCCCATATCCTACACTTTTCTTGCATTTTATTTTTTCTTTCTTGAGGTCCACTCATGACATTTGTGCGGTTGTATGTACCAGAAACAGTCATAATTAATTTTTCTATCACTCTTTCTCCCTTGGTTTTTGTTGCTTTGCCTGTATATATATATATATATATGTGCTGTCAGAAGAAAACCACGTATCTCCAAACTGATAAAGGTGAAAAAAAAAGTGAAAAACAACTAAACTGGACACACAAGGTTTTGTTCCGACAGCAGCGTTTTATATATATATATATATATACATATATATATGCAAGTGATCTCTGTTCCGATTGGCTGCCCTGTATTGTGCCTCATTTAAAAAGTAAGCTAGGCTGAATGAATCAGGTAATGTCCTTGAATGAGCAGGCTAAAGTGCTGTGGGCGGATATAGGTAAATGAGTTCGTTTTCCTGACATCAAGAAAAATCATTAGTATAATCAGTACTTTCTTCGGTGATCATTCACAGAATAGTCTTTTAGGAAGGCGATCTTGTAACAGCAATGTGTGCTTTGTAACAGGGGGCTGCTGCACACCCGGAGAACGAGGACCAGCAGCAGAGGCTGAGAGAGGCTGCAGAGGGACTGCGTGTGGCCACCAATGCTGCAGCTCAAAACGCCATCAAAAAGAAGCTTGTCAACAGACTGGAGGTGAGAGATACACTCTGCACTGCTGTCACTCTCTCTCTCTGACACTAGTCTGACACAGCTACACCTGCTGCCGCACAGCCATCACAGCCCCTTCTGGTGGTGAAGAGTTTTTTAGTGATGTGGAATTAGTTAATGAAGTGTAAGAATGTGTGATGAGGCCTGAGGAGGACAGGGGCAAAGAGCACTGCAGCCTCTAGTGCTCTTTTCATTCACACTACAGCCACTTCCGTTGCATTGGATAAAAATGGTGCTTTAAATTTACATGATTTAAGTGTGACAGTCATGCATATAAATAAAATATATTACATTAACGCAATTATTATCTATATACAGGAATTGTGTGGATGTAGCGCATTTTATTCATGTGCACCCCGATTTGAATAATGTAAATCCAAAGCACCACTCTGTGCCCAAGGTAAAAGAAGCTGTTTATAAATAGTTGGAGTGTATTTTACAGGACTTAGCTGCATGTTTATCGAAGTGTCCTCCTTGTTATGAAGAGTAGGTTTTGCCTAAATAATAATTTGATGGTTTTCTTTCATAAACTGCTGTTAAAAGCTTGTATTGAAAATGTGTTTCAATTAAATCTTATAAAACGTATTGCAGTGAACATATCACATGCATGAAATACTGAGTGACAGTACTTTATCTTTTCTCAGTATCAGCTTCTTAACAGCTACACATCCTTTCAGACTCATAGTGTTGAGTTGTCTTCTCACAGTGGAAGGATGGACAGAAACACTTTTGGATTTTTCAGATCTGAAGTAAGAGTGGAGCTTGATTGTCTTGTCTCTCTTAAAGATGAAAGACTTAAGTACTGTTTATCTGATGGTGACATTTTGGTGGTCTTTGAGGTCTTTCACAGCTGTTAGGAGTCCTGTTTTCGCTACATCTTCTACATCATTTTTTCTATTACATTGTTTTTTTCTTTTTACTTCCAACTTCATATGCGAGTGGATCATTTTACATCTAATCTCAAAAATATGTCCTACAAAATTAAATACTTAATGATCGTTTTCACTGGAAATTCTTTAAACGAATGGTGGTCTCTGACTTGCACAGTACTGTATAAAGGGTGTTGATACTGTATCAGCAATATTACTCTGAGGTGTTTGATACAGATAGGTCCTGATATACTTTAGACTTGTGCTGTAAAGACCTTGAAAGATAATAGAACTTTCTGAAGCTACCCACTATTTTCTGCTTGTTTTCCCCAGAGGTTCTCCTCAAACCTGTCTCTTTATCTGAGGTTCACACTGCTGTTGTGCACTGTTCTTATCCCGAGCAGCTAGTCTCAAGTGTTGCTAACAGACTGAGCTGTTTGATTGTCTGCTGCTAGAAGAATGTGTTCTGTGTCCCTGATGGGACTTCTCTTCTCCAGAGGGATCCGCCAGCATTTGGAGCCCTGTTTGCCCTTCCCTCGTCAACAAAGATGTCATTGTTGTCGCGATTGCTTTTTGTTTCACCCTTCAACCATCCTCCTCCAGAACATGGAATGTCCCTTCTTTCTGCCACTTTCCTCCATTTTGACTTCAAAAGCTCATCATGGAGCTCAGCAGTCATTTGCACTAGCAGACACGCAAGGCTGAATGTTTTATGAATATTTGACTGTACTTTTTTGCAAGAGTAATCATCATATTGAAAGAAGGCAATTGAATGCAGCAGTTATCACAAAATAAAGGACGCACAGCTCAAAGACTTCAGAGGATCACAGAAACTTCCAGAAACACTCTGCACTCTCACTTGTCTCGCTTATCTGTCAGTGTATTCATTGTATTTGGGCTTTAAAGATTTTAATTCAATGTTTTTCATACTAATATCCCAGCATAATTGCTTTAGGTTGTTATAATGTTGCACTTAATGTATTCACTTGTGTCTGTAAACTACTACTAGGGCAAAGTACAGTGCATGCTTTGTGTGTATTTACTTTTGTTTATGCTGAGCTGTAGTGTTAATGGGAGATGTTTTATTTATTTGGGTCAGATTGCTGCCAAGCAGGCTGCAGCAGCAGCTACTCAGACCATCGCAGCTGCTCAGAATGCAGCTGCTTCCAACAAGAACACCGCCTCTCACCAGCAGCTAGTGCACAGCTGCAAGGTACCGTGGCTGAGTGTTTCATTTAGTTCATTAGACTCAGAATGTTCATTATTAGCTTTCGTTACTTTCACTAATGTATCTGTTCTGTGATATTCGGTAGATGCTCTAGTAAATGATGAGAGCCGAAAAGTTTATTAATCTGGGGTCTCTTTGTGTGTGCATGTTACTGAAGGCTGTAGCAGACCACATCCCTCAACTGGTGCAAGGCATGAGAAGTAGCCAGGCCCAGCCAGAGGACTTGAGTGCCCAGCTGACCCTCATCATCGCCAGTCAGAGCTTCTTACAGGTGCAGCCTCAACTACTGAATTACATTATGTTGTTTGGAGACACTTCTTAGTTCACCAGTTTTTTACCCCTTTAACTTTAAGGACCTGGCCTGTCACACTTCAATTCCTCACTTTTGTACTTACATACTTTACTGTGGTTTCTTAGTTACTGATTGATAGTTACCGGATAATAAGCCTGAACAGTAAGCCCAGAGGAATGTGTCAGGCCGCCGTGTACTGATATACCATCCCAGTGTGCACCGATGACATGGAAGGTGGTGCTCAAACCCTGCCCATCTCCCTTTCCACTGTGAGGCCACTGTACAATGCCTGACGTTTGATCCTGGTGGCCGAGCTATGGGGCAGGGGTAGTGACAGGGAGGCGGAGCAGCTCTCTCTCTTTCCCTTTCAGCTCAGGTGCTAACACTGCTCTGAATGAGAGACACCTGACACTGGTTTGGGTTCAGCAGTGTGCTCACCTTTAAAAGGTGCAAAGAGGAAAGAGAGAAGGAGAGACGAATGAACAGCAAGAGGTCTCGGAAGAGCCGAAAAGCTCATGTGTGACTCTGAAAAGTCTATGTAGAGGCCACTGATAAGTGACAGAGTTTTGTTTCGTTTCAGTAAGGAAAATAAACTAAAATGTGAACTGTTGCAACCATCACGCTTGCCTCAAGCACCCTTCTTCTCCCTAGGGTAGCGCATGGCATGCTACAAGGGGTTTTGAAGGAAAATTCTAATGAATTTTCAAAAATTTCTGCACAATTAAAAGATGTAAATAAAGTCATTCAGAGTGGCTTAATCTGAAATGTGCCATTCTAGAGAAGCAGACCAAGTCAGAATTGTTCACAGAGGTGGTGAGAGGATGTCCAAAGCGTTTAAAGAGTCAGACGTGTCTCTTGCCTGACACAAGTGAATTAATGAATTAATTCCGTCGATTTTTAACAATTTCTGTACAATTCAATTATTAAGATGTGAACACAGTTATTCAGAGTGCTTTGATGTAAAAATGTTCCATTCTGGAGAAACTTGCCGAGCCAGAATTATTCACCGTGGTCTCAAAAGTTCATCTAAAATCTCCCTCACACAAAGTTATTGCAAGAAATGGTCACTTATATGCTACCCGATACCTGAGACCATGTTTTACAGTAGTTTTCTGATAAAGTTTTGATTTAAAATGTATTTTTTAAACTACATTCATGGCAGAGAGATACATTGTAAGCAAAATATACCTAAATATACCTAAAAAAAACATACTTTTTCAGATTTCCCACTGTTTTGCCATTATTAGTATTACAAGAACTCAGAAGACATGCTAAGTTCACTGGTCATTTTGGATAGTAAATAAAATGACTATATTTGTGTTGCAGACATTGTGCCCCCTGGTTCATATCACCACCACTGTAAAGACATGAGTTGGTTAATTTCTGTACAGTGAATCATTTCACATCAAAACCGTCTGAATGATTTTTTTACGTCACAACCATTGAATTACACATAAATCAGTAGAATTCCCCTTTAAGGGGTTCAGTTTTAAATGACCTTTGGAGCTCTACAAACAGTAACATTTAAGACATTTACTTTTGGGGGGTTTTCCAGTACATAAATGGAAGAAGCATGGACTCACAAAAGATTTTTATTGTTGGTTTTGTCTCAAAGCCCGGCAGCAAAATGGTGACTTCAGCAAAATCAGCCGTTCCTACAGTAACTGACCAGGCCGCAGCTATGCAACTGGGTCAGTGTGCCAAGAACCTAGCCACCTGCCTGGCAGAGCTACGGACAGCTGCCCAGAAGGTATCACCAACTCCTCAACACTCATTACACAATCTAGTACTACCTAGAGCATCCTGATATAAGAATTTCATGGTAACTATCTTATCTTTCATTATGGTTAATGATATTTTCATGATACTGTAGTAAAAAAACACCGAAAAGATAATACATACATATATGTAGGGTCCTGAATGTTAATTTTAAAAGCAAGTTTGAAACTGACTTCAGTGGGCTGCGGCAGTGGTAAGGAGTTATTTTGTGTCTATTTTAACCTGTTTTAGGCTCATGAAGCTTGTGGGCCTCTGGAAATAGACTCAGCTCTGAGCGCAGTCCAGACCCTGAAGAACGAGCTCCAGGATGCCAAGATGGCCGCCCTTGACGGACAACTCAAACCACTTCCCGGAGACTCGGTCAGTGCTTCATAAAGCTTATAGGTCTCAAAATGCGTTTCAAAGGGCCCATATTTTACAACGTTCTTGCATCATATTTGTGTTTTTCCCTGAAATCCACTTAAAACTTATAACTAAAACAGTCATAAAAACAGTCCAAATGACCATTGCAAAGCCTTTATGACTAAGCAAACTCAGTCCCTTTGAATCATAAGGTTCTGTCTGGGTTCTGGGCAGATTTGAGATATTGAGCTTTAAAGATTTTGCATTCCAGATAGCAAAACTGATATGTGGAGCAAGTCTCTAATGATGAAAATGACAGACACCTTAAATTTATTCTAAATGTTTAACATCAAAATCCTGTCAAATTTGTAAATGAGTTTTTATGGAAAAGGCAAAACGCAGATAGAACCTTCTAATCCTTAGAACTCACTTTCTGCTTGGAGTTATAAGGTTCTATCTGGCAAAACATGAGGAAAAGCAATGATTTTCAAGGAACACAAACAGTTTACTCATAATTTATTTTAAAACATAAAATGAATGTTGTAACAGAGTGTCTACATGTATCAGAAAGTTAACCTTGTTGCTTTCTATGACATTTCCATGACTTTTATTTTATTTTTTATTTTTTTATGACATTTTATTATTCCTTTTTATGACATTTCTTTTTTAGGACAAATCATATTTTTCTTATTCAAAAAAGTATTGTAGATTAGGTATAAAGGTTAGTGCTAAATATTTTGTCCAGTGCACAGGTCAATTTCTGTTAGAAACCATTAGTTTAAGTTTCCTTTGTGTTAGTCAGCAATGAGCTGCTGTAATAAACTGTCCCAGCCAGTGAGTGTAGCAGATCAGTCTAAAGGCAATATAATATTTTGTTTTATATCAGAAATGTTGACTCGAATTCACCAAAATGACTTATTTAGGGAGAAAGAGGAAAAAGAAAAGATGAACGAATGAAATAAATGTTTATGTTGTAATTAAGACCCCATCAATTCAAAAGTATAATATTTAATGACCTTAAGGCTTAAAATTTTAAAAACACAAAAAAAAACTTTTTAAAGAACTCCAAGAAGACAAAGTTATATAAACTTTTTCTGCAGTCACAGAGCAGTGCAGCGACATGACAAAGAGGCCGAACCTGATTGGTCCTCTTGTATATATTCGGATTGCTGATTGGCTCACAAATAGAACCTTATAGAACCAAGGTAATGTTTGACTGTGGAGATAGAACCTTTTTGTTTTCTAGATAAGCAGTCCCAGAATGCATTCGACTGACTCAAATGTCAGATAGAACCTCATAATTCCAAGGGGGTGAACTGTTTTTGTCACTGTGCCTATAAGACTAACACATTTAGAAGACCTCCATTCTGGTTAGCTGCACTGTACTGTGAAAGGACTCTGGGCTGAAATATACAGAGCAAACTGTTAAGAATCCACAGGGATGCCAGACACAACGTTTCATTGTTTTCTTCACCATAATAACTCTACTACCCACTATCTGCAGTAACAGCACTCCATATCTCATCTTTTCTGCATGAACAAGCGGGCTAAACTACTGTAAGATTAAGTCAGTCATATGCACTGAAAAGACTGCTGTTTACTGGGCTGCCTTTAATTTTTTATAATTGAACTAATTATAAAAACTAACTGTTAACTAACTGTTAATTTAACAGAACATGAGCCTGGGTCTTAAATTCTGTTGATAAATGCAGTAAACTCAAAATTCCAAAGCAGCCTGGTAATTAATGTTTTGAGTTGAAACACCAATTTTGTTTTATTAATGTTTAAGTGTCTTCATGGTTATGACATCATAACCATGATGAATTCAAAAACAGCCAGACCGCCTCTCAGTTTGTTTTCCGTATGTGGATTATATGAATCAGGCACTGAATGGTATGTTTTGAAACTTCAGGAATGTACAAAACTTTTATAATGGTCTGTGTTAGCCAACATCCATATAGGCTATAGTGGCTACATTCTTTCTCTCTTGCACATGCAGCTGGAGAAGTGTGCTCAGGACCTGGGAAGTACCTCTAAGGCTGTGGGCTCTTCCATGGCCCAGCTGTTGACCTGTGCTGCCCAGGGCAATGAACATTACACTGGTAAGGCCAACTTTAGTCATTCAAAGTCATAAGAAATAGAGTTGAAGAAAGCAGGGAAATATAATAGGACTCACACATTCAGGACAGACAGTACAATACAATGTCTAAAATTCACTTGGCATAATAGGACATAATTTCATTTCAGTTCCTTAGAGCAGACAAACCGTTGTCCTTCTTTATAATCTGAAGAGATATTTGAAATTGGTGCCACATGCAGAGCACTCAATCACTCCTGCAGGCTTTGGTTTACATAAACTTACACTCAAATTCTAACAGAATTAATGCAGAAGTGCTGTTTCCTCAATGGACAGACTTTCTGTGAAGGCTGTGTTGCTGCTCTCCTGTGTAGTCTGGTGATTTTTCACTCTCTCCACTGGCTCGATGGCTCGTCTCAGAGGTGCTTGTGGTGCTGGACTGTAATGGCATTGCTGGAACAATGTGCTTTCTGCTCTTTTTGCTCTGCTTGCTTACCCAGCCACTGCAACCCAGGGTGCCATTCCCCTCCCTCATTAATCTTATTTTCACTACATTTAACATAGCATCAGCAATCAGGGGCTACTTGGCTGGATAATGCAATTTGATGCAATTTGCCTGCATTGGCGCTAAACCTTTTTCTTCCTGCGGGATAAGGAAAGGCCAGCTCTCACCTGGAGCCTCCATTTACTGTCTGGCTCATTCGCTGGAGCGGTGAGGGCAGTTTTGCATTGGCCCACCCCCTGATGGTGTTGCTGTGGAGAGGGCTGAAAGCTGGGGCTGATAGGTGGATGATTTTTGCGCATTATGTTACTTAAGAGTAATAAAGAATGCTTTGAGTGGACCGGTTATTTCACACTCATGTTTGGGCCATTTATTGGGAAACATTATGGAGATGGAGTGGTACAGCGTGGGACCTAAAAGTGCTGTTACAGTGAATGGTGTCTCTTATCTGCTCTCGGGGAAGTAAAACAACATTGGGGAGCATTAAATGTAATGATGGAATTTATGACAGTTGAGGAAGCCTTTCAGGCATGTAATTTTCTGTGTATGTGTGTGTGTTTGTGTGTGTTCAGGCGTAGCTGCGAGGGAGACTGCTCAGGCTCTGCGGACTCTAGCCCAGGCTGCTCGGGGAGTGGCTGCCTGCACAGTGGAGAGGCAGTCAGCAGCAGCCATGCTGGACTCAGCCAGCCATGTGATGGAGGGCTCAGCCATGCTCATCCATGAAGCCCACCAGGCCTTGGTCTCCCCCGGTGATGCCGAGAGCCAGCAGAGACTAGCCCAGGTCAGACACAGAGGCTGCATCACATGACCTTCACACCAGACCAGATCGAATCAAAGGCAAACTCATTAGTGCTTCTGCTGCAGAGTTAACCTCTTTAGCATGGCCGCTAGAATACAGTCATTTAACCCCTTATTCATTTACTACTCATATTAAGTTATTAATCTTAACTTATTGTAGACTGCAATTATTGACTGAGTACTATGATATTACTACATCATACTGGTTAAATGTAAGTTATATATTCACAGCGTAAAGAATTAAAATATGGCCCACATTCAGCCCTTGCAGAATGTTTAAGGGGTTAAATTAGATTTTGCATTGTATAATATTCTTTATTATTCTGTATTTTTTCTTTATAGAAGTATTTATTTATTGTTTTTCTGAATTAATTTACAGCACAATTCAATAAATAATAATTCATCATTAAGTCTGAAGCACATTTCCTGCACGTGCAGTGAGTCTTTTTTTTTTTTTTGGAAAAGTTCTGAATTCCACTGCTTCACTGCCATTCCCTCACTTGTTCGCTCCCACTCTCTTCTCTCTCACTGTAGCTCTCTCTCACTCTCACTTTCTCACGCTGCTCAGTAAAAGTTGAAAAGTAGCACATCACCCACCTCCTGAGCAATTATGTCCTGTTAACTGAGCTATTTTCTATTGTCTGTTTGGGACTCTGCGGCCTGCTTTCTGGAAGGCTGCGGCATTTTTCCTGATTTGCTGGGGCTCCTCTGGGAGATAAACATATTGCTTGGCATATGTCTATGACAGTGGCATAAATTAGGGACATGGATTTCTCTGCTCTGCTTTGGGGCTGATTAGCATTTTAGATTCAAGCTGCTTTTCCCTAGGACATTGTAGGGTTGTTAGGATGCCTGATGCAGTATCACAGCACTGACAGTACATTTGTGTGTGTGTGTGTCTGTGTGTGTTTCAGGTAGCGAAGGCTGTCTCCCACTCTCTGAATAACTGTGTGAACTGCTTACCCGGGCAGAAGGATGTGGACATGGCTCTGAGGAGCATAGGAGAAGCCAGCAAGAAACTGCTGGTGGAAAATGTAAGTCTTCATTGTTTGGTTTGTAGAGGTAGAAGCACATTTTGTTTGTAATAAGTTTTTCTTGTTTGTTTTTTGCTTTTTACACCATTTGAAAACTGCCTTTTTACATTATGTGCACATTATTTAAAAACCAATGAAAATAGCACAAAATTTACCTGAAATAAAATCTTGTTACGTTAACGTACACAAAACATACAATACCTTTTTTCCATTTCCTTTAAAGTTTGTTTCCTTTCTTCTTTTTTGTCAGTGAAAATGCGTTAGCTTGTTGTATTAAATGTTTGTATTCTCATTTTGACCGTTTTCTCTGTTTTCTCAATGCTCAGCAGTATAGAAAACAGGGGTTGGTTTTGCCTCAACATACTTTTATATGAAGGTTTCAGCGGATGAATTACCTAGCTTAGTGGTCACCAGCTCATTTCTTAGAGACTTCTACACATTCAGCTCAACACACTCAACACAGTTCAAACATTCTGGGAAAACATTTCTGATTACATAAAAGACTGTTGTTTTGACAGGTCTCAGCCACAGCACTGCTAACCCCTCTCTGTCTCTGTGTGCAGTTGCCTCCATGCTCCAAGTCCTTCCAAGAGGCTCAGACGGAGTTGAATCACACGGCCGCTGAGCTTAACCACTCGGCCGGGGAGGTGGTACACTCTTCTCGCGGCACCAGCAGCCAGCTGGCTGTGGCCTCCGGCAAGTTCAGCCGAGACTTTGATGAGTTTCTGGATGCTGGCATCGAGATGGCTGGACACACACAGGTACGCACACCTGTTAGTACACAGCTCACTGCCCTAGGGAAAAAGGTGCCACAGCAGATTTTCATGCTGCATTAAGTTATAAAGGAGCATTTCACAGTTAAACAGGCACCATGAACAATTATTAGGTCTATTAAAGATAAGAATTTGCTTGTAAACTATAGTCCTCTGACAAAACGACACAAATAGGAAACCTTTTTGGCAGATCCTGCATGGTCTCAAGTAGTCACTTCTGAATGGAAGCAAACATTCTAAAGATAATCTAATGTATCTATAACCAACCATTTATAATCACCTTAAGCTTTCCCCCATCACTACTGTACACAGAGCCAAATATATTATTACATGTTCTGTTTATTGTCTGGACATCATAGGCACTGTATCAAAAGTTAAAGGGGCATTCTGACTTAAAATTAGGTTTAATGTTATTTGTCATGTTGTTGTGTCATCTAATGTTACCTAGCTTTGAGTTTCCATTGTAATGATGATTTGAAGATAGTTGCCACAGTTATACTGTTGTAATTAGATATTTGGCTTCCTAGCAGTAAGCATAACCATGTGTGGTCCTTCTGCGTTCATATTTTAAACTCCCACTCTGAAGCAGTTCCTCCCACCTTTAAGATATGTCATCATAAGAGTTTTCCTAGTCTTTTAACCTGAAAATCTCACTCTGGAGAATACTGCAGCACCACTGTAGGATGCAAGTAAGCAATTCGTAAGTTACCAGGCTGCCTAAGTAGTAAGTCAGCAGAACGTGCAACATAGATTTTTGTTCTGTTAACTTACTATTAGAAGGTGAATTAACTCCAAATTTTAAGGCAGTCTGATAACTAACTTTAATGAATAACAAACTTTAGTGAATAACTCATCCATATTAACCTGCCAACATTAGGCTTAATTTGTTACTGTACTGCCTACTGATACTGGCTACTGATGTTTGCTTTCTGTCCTATACAGATCATATGTAGTAAATTTGTGACAACGTTACAAACATGTCTTCAGCTAGCATGTATCCATTGACCAGTTTGCAGAGAGTATCAGGGAAGGTTCAAATATCCAACCAGATTATCAACAGCAAGTTTGACTTCATGATGCAAAACAGGTCTATAAATCTTTAGTATCTTCAAGTCAACAAAATTTCCAAGATTAGTGAGTTGCTGACGAATGGGCAAAACCGCATCACGCTTGGCAATTTTGAAACGCTTTTGATTCATTTGTTAATTAGACCTTCTCATTTAATTCATTTAGGCACATGATCATCCCCGGGAACGCATGCAGCACTCCATCGTAATGAGATCGTTGATGATGTTCTTGTTCTGCTTATTTTGCTCATTAATTTGGAGAGATGGGTTGGGGAAGGGGGGTGATGGAGCATGACATGCCTAATAAGAGTAAGTGAGGGACAGGGAAAGAGGGCTACATGAACAGCCATCAGCTGGTGCTGCTGCCTGTTCTATAATCTAGACCATTTAGCTCTGAGCACTACAGTGTGGTATCACTTTAGATAGTCTGTAACTCTGTATTAACCAAGTAGGGCAGCACAGAGTGGATAGTAGGTGGGTAGTAACTAGTCCTCAAGTATATGTGCTTAAATAAAATATTTTCCTGAGCATTTTTAAACCATAGTACATTTACTTCTACTAAGTATATTAGTGAGTAAAAGTATCTACTTAGTACTCAGTTACATTTTAGCCGTTAACTTTTAGTTATTAATTTTTAATTAACTTTTTTAATTTCATTATGTTTTGTTGGTGACATCTGTACTGGTTTAAAGTTTGTCAAGTTTAAAGGGCCCATACTCTACAGTTATCTTTTTCACATATTTGTATAGTTTTATGCACAAAAATATTGGTAATAGTACAGGCTGTTGTTTTTGTTACTATGCCTTTAAGACTCAAATATGTAAATGATCTCTATTCTGATTGGCTACCTATATTCCTCTTCCAAAAAAAGTTCACACTAAAGTCTTTCATTAACGCTTCTGTACACTGAGTACAGTATATTGTTAATGATCCTCTGTTTATTATTGCTTGATTTGCCAGAACACATTGTGCCTCAAAAAGCCCTCCTGCAAAATGTGCAAAACAAGCTGTTAAGTTAAGACTGAAAACTTCTGGGATGGTTAAAAAAATATGCTTCAGCCACACTTTTGTGGCTTCATTGATACATTTGCTCCCCAACAGAAGATTTTCCCCATATTTTGTGCTCCAGTAGCACTACAGTCATCATGGTTGTGACATCACAACTGTTACGAATTCAAAACTGACTGCTTTTGTAGAGGACTGTGCATTTTGAAACTTTTAAGAGCCTAGATTCTACTAATTTCCCCTGAGGTCCAATTATAATGTGTGTAGAGGTTTATGCCCTCTGTTGTTCCTCATTCAAATATCAGTTTGGACTGAAACACTGACTTCAGTATGAATGACCAGGGCCTAACTGCTGTAGGCTGAATAGGTGGATATATGTAAATACACTGTTTTTCATGACATCACATAAACAAGGTGTTCAAATCAGGCAGTTTTAGCAGCTTATTTTCCATATGTGGGCTGTATGGACTGATATGCTTTGATTGATGTGTTTTGAAATTTTAATAATGTTGATAGACTACATCAAAATCTTTTCTTTCAAAAAAATGAATACAATTTGGTTTGCATGATATGGGCCCGTTAACAGTGTTTCCATAGTGCATCAGACTTTATTTTAAAAAGGAAGGTAAATTGTTTTCCATGATACAGGCTCCTTAAGAAACAGTACCAGGTATTGTGCTGGTTGAGTGTTTGTGTCAATTTTTGTGTTTTGTCTTTGCAGTCCAAAGATGACCAGATCCAGGTGATTGGCAACCTGAAGAACATCTCCATGGCCTCCAGCAAACTGCTGCTGGCCGCTAAGTCCCTGTCTGTGGATCCTGGGGCTGCCAATGCCAAGAATCTTCTTGCAGCCGCAGCAAGGTAAGTGGATTGGTGACCATCCAAGCCATCATCAAGCCAGCTATCTAGCCGGAGGGCATGAGCAAATGACATGTAGCCGTCAGTGACAAAAAAAGACACCGGAAATTTACACCAGTCGTACACACAGAGCCTCCACACTATAAGAGAAAGATGAGAATTTTGGAAGCGAAGAATGTGTTGGAGTGGTGTGTGTTTGACTGTGTGCAGAGTGTGGAGCTAAAACCGCCTCAGGTGGAGGAGGGAGGCAGCTGCTCCGCTGGGCTTTGGGCCTGATTGATTTCTCTCTCCTTAATGAGGGAGATGGAGGCTGGGAGATACACATGAGCACACACACAAACACACACTCGCGCCCTCACACATACACACACGCACAGCCTGTGCTCATCTAAGAGGAACAGACACCAGCATTATGACAGCTTTGTATATGTGTGCGTGTTAGATACAAGACACATTTCTGATGTTTGTGTGTGGTAGCAGTACATTGTATGCATTAGGAAATAGCAGTTTATAGCTCAGTCAGTCTTTTGAGGATTGTAATGTAAACAGATATTTCCCTGTGGCTGGTTGCACCAACAGGTCTTAACTAAGAAGGTTAACTGCCAAGTCGGTCGTAGCTAAGACCATTTTTCAGAAAGTATTTTATGCCCGTCATGCCAACCAAAGTGAAAATGAGTTAATACATCCTCTTCAGACACAGTTCTTCACATTTTAATGCACAGTTACTGTTTATTTGCTGGATTTACCGTATTGAGAAAAATAGAACATACAATGTGGCCTGTGCAAAAGTTGTTTTATATTTTATTATTTTCCAATATGTTAAACTCAGCAAATAACTAAAAATTGTGCACTAAAATTTTAGACAAATGCTGTTTAATTTATATTCATCTTATTTTTCACTTAGAAATGAAATATGTAATTTGACCATGGGTGTTCAAACTTTTGTTACGACTGTACTCCTAGGCACAGCTAAGAGCGGTCTTGTTGTGCGGATCTACTTGCACTTATGTTTTGCAGCATTCCACTATGCTGGATCCTTTCTGTGTCATTTCTGTTATGGAAATGACGAAACTGGTGCAGTAACCTGATACTTCACCATATTTTTTCAAATATTACACAGAAGTTTACAATGAGCCTAAAATACAGACTTATTCCTTTATGCTTTTATCATTTACAGAATGCAGCAGTCGTCCACGCAGGATAGAAGGTTAGATTGCTCAGTCTCACGAGCTACCTTATTAGCAAATAACCTCAGAGCTTTCTGTGATTCAAATTTTGTCTTTCCACGGGAACCTAGTAAATTTTGTCCAATCAGGCCTCTCCACATCTAAACCAGATATTTTCATTATGTTCAATTGTCATGGATACAAAGAAGCATAAGAGAGCCGTTGTTTTCCCTTCGTATTTTCAAAGAAAGTTTTATGTTTGCAGTTTGTGACAAAGGCCAGTCTACTGTTGCTAAACGTAATGTAACTGGACTCACTCAAGTAGAAATCTGCTGAACTTTTTCAGTGGATGGCAAAGCAGATTTCACCACACTACAGCCATCATGCACAACACTGATCTGGCAGAGCTCCCTTTCGAAATGAATAGGATGCAGAGGAGCAAAGTTGCAAGTGGGCACGTAGTGTTAGCAGTGGACTTTCATGTGAAAATGTGTGTGGCAAAAATGTAAATTTAACACGTTTTGGATCAAAATGAAATATCTGTTCTTCTAACAACCTCGCTAGTCTCGGCAGTTCATGCTACCAAAATAGACAAAAAAGCAGAAGTAACTTCACCAAGAGTTAAACTCGCAAGTTAATCCAATTGCAGTCTGCTTAAAGCCACATTGGTGGATAAACACCATCAGATTACATTAAAAATTAAATAAAAAGTCAGTATGGGAGGCCCTGCTGAAAAGACCAATGCAGAATAGCATGTATTCTTTGCTGGTCTAAACTGGTCTGTGCTGGTTTATCCTGGTCTAGTGCTGGTCTTGTGCTGGTTTAGCTGGTCACCCAATATGGTCATGATGGTTGACCAGCATACCAGCATCCAAAACACCAATATGCTGGTCTGTGCTGGGTTTTCTAGCCATGTCCATCCAAAAATGTAGTTTGGGGGTTTGTAGCCACCGCCCTCCTGAAATACATCACAACTCTTCACATTTCTCTGCGTGGGGGATGAAGACTTTAGCACTGGAAAATCAGCTCTGCAGTCTGCGTCTGTTGTAAATAAACAAAACAACAACTACCCACTTTGGTTTTAACCAGACTTTTACGTGTGGTAATATGTGTAGACATCCGGTAAGTCTTCCTTCTTTAAGACATCACATTCTGAACAATATATGTCTGGTTTGTGTACTTTTCTAGCATAGTTAACTAATCACGTGCTGCTAATACTCATAAGTTATGAGTTAGTGAAGTTAGCTGCTTAAGTGCTGCTAGACACTGTGCCAGTTAGAGAGACTTGAGTTGCAGCAGAAAAGTGCTTTTAACTGGTGCACTGTGCAGCAGCACTTTGACCAGCAATTAGACCAGATTACAGTGTATTGTTTAAAGCAGTTTCTATAGCCTAGTAAAGGTCTAAAAGATTTGTCTTTAAGCCTACTCCCAGCTAGTAGGCATACATGCACCTTTCTGGCTTAGTGAAAATTCGGCCGATGACCAATTGCTGGTCTTAAAATTATGCCCACAAAGTTACATACTCAGAGTACGACCAGGAGTAAGTCCTGTTGGTGCAACAAACCCCTGGTGTCTTCATGATTCAGCTGAGGTCTTTGTAAGTCTTGTCACTTTTGACTCTGTGCACTTATATGTGTATTTCTGGATGTGTGTGTGTGCTGTATTGTGTTTGTGTGTGCTGTATTGTGTTTCAGAGCAGTGACAGAGAGCATTAACCAGCTCATCACACTGTGTACCCAGCAGGCACCAGGCCAGAAGGAGTGTGACAATGCCCTGCGTGAGCTCGAGGTTAGCAAACACACCTGAGTGTACACTGAGATACACCCACATACATAGTTCTGCTTTGATCTGTGTAAAGATTCTCTGACGTGAGCTGTGCTGTGTTATTATACTGTGTCTTATTGAATCACAGAGCCTTGAGCTGAAATTTCTGTCTGTATTGTATGTATATAAATACTTGGCATTTGCTAACCAGGCTCAGTAAAGAAAAAATGAGCATCTCAAAGGGAACCAGGGCTTGATGTTCTTCTCATCAGCTCATCTCTCACTCTCTCTGTCACACTTTCTTCTCCAGGCGGTGAGAGGAATGCTAGACAATCCGAATGAACCAGTCAATGATCTCTCCTACTTTGACTGCATAGAAAGTGTGATGGAGAACTCCAAGGTAAAAACACAAACCCTCTATTAACCCTTAGAAGTCTGGAGTTATCATTACATTTCATTACGCAATTACTCGAAGCCCCAGGGAACTTAAAACCGTTTTCTTTCTAATTAGTTTAATATTGTGCTAGTTGGCACAAAATACAAAAGTGTAAATAATATTCCAGTGTCCGGTAAATAAACCAATATGTTTTATCAAAATTCTGCCCTTTTGATTTAAACTGGACAGTCCTGATCTTGGGTATTGCTTATGTAGGCATTACCCAGAAAAATCACAAGACTGATGTGGCTTGTTCCACCCACACAGCTGTGACAAACAATGCGTTTCCTGCCCTCTCAGCTGGAGCTGGGGTAACTAACTAAGCTAACCTTGACAGCTAGCTCATCTGTCTGTCTCTGCCTGGTGTCTGTTCGTTTATTCATTCTTCCCTCTGTTTGACCCATCATGCCAGCATTATGTCTGTCTGTTTAAGTGTTTGTTCATCGGTACATCAAACTGGCCATGCTAGCATTCCATGTGTGTACATTCCCTAGGTGCACATCTAGCAGTACATCTTGCCTTCTTTAAGACATTGCGTACGTAGAGCCCATTTTGCTAATTTCTCCTCACTTGTGCTATTGTATTTAGTTCTACTACAGTGGCATATTAAACTGGGAGGGACAGAGGGGTGTCAGTTGTGTGCCTATTAGGTTTGAGTCTGCTCTTTTGACTTGATTTCAAATAATAACAAAAAATGTATAATAAAACTTTTTTTTTCTTTTCTCAAAACAAGACTAGTTAGCACAATACAAATTTGAATACATTTCAAATCCCAATGGAAATCTCTTCAACTGCTTACAAAGATAATTGTGGTACTGATTTTAAGTTTGGAATCTACACTTTTGAAAGAATTTCTCCACTTTTTTTGAGCTACAAATTTGAAATAATTAATCTCAAGCAGGACTGATCTTATCCTCCAAAGGTCACTGTGGCTACAAGTTTTCCTGCCAGCATAGCAGGAGCTCACATGATCAACTGAAGACTGAGACCAACTGATTTAATGAGTAGAGTCAGATGCTCTCCTGCATGTTTGTAATTGAAAACCTGTAGCCACACTGGTTCTTTGATAAGATTCGACACCCCCGATCTAAAATTACATGCTTTTGTTGTCGCCGGTGATACATGGGACTTCTAAAGGTTCAAAAGGAGAGTATAGACTAATGTAGGTAGGTAAGGTAGAATAATGCTCTGTCTTGTGTATATCAGGTGCTGGGAGAGTCTATGGCAGGCATCTCACAGCATTGTAAGACAGGCGACGTGCCAGCCTTTGGGGAGTGTGTGGGTGTGGCATCCAAAGCGCTGTGTGGGCTCACGGAGGCAGCAGGCCAGGTGAGTGTTCAGACTGCACCTGCTCAGCAGGCCAACATGGTGCTTCAGTCTAGCAAAATCCCCTGCACATAAGTTAAAAAGACAGCAGTGTATCAGCACTTTTCCTTTTGATGCAGGTCTTTTGGCTGATCCTATGAATGAAAAGGGAGAAATTCTCATAATTCACTAAAGCACCCTTTGATTATTTTGCTAGTATGAGCTATTTTGTAGTGAGAGGCCAAAGACTCTCATTAGACAGAAACTGTGTTTCTCTCTCTGATCTGTAGGCATCATACCTTGTGGGTGTGTCAGACCCTAACAGTCAGTCGGGTCATCAGGGACTGGTGGACCCTATCCAGTTTGCCAAAGGCCAACCAGGCCATTCAGATGGCATGCCAGAGCCTGGTGGACCCTGCCAGTAGCCCATCCCAGGTAAGGAATTACCATTTATTTATTTATATATTTTTTTTACTTTTATTTCATAGTAAAACCTCGTTGAGCACTCATTATCTTTTTGTTTACAAATATGCTACGTAGGTGCTATCCGCAGCCACGATTGTAGCCAAGCACACCTCAGCTCTCTGCAATGCCTGTCGGCTCGCATCATCCAAAACCGCCAACCCTGTCGCCAGGAGACATTTTGTGCAATCAGCCAAAGAAGTAGCCAACACCACAGCGAATCTCGTCAAAACTATTAAGGTGACATCTCAATTAATCGAACTTTTAACTTTAAATAATGCGCTTTATTAAAATGAAAGCTGACATTTTTCTTACATTATTCTTAAGGGTAAAGCGTTGTCATCAGTTTTATTTTAGCGTCTGTGTGCATGTCTTGTAGGCTTTGGATGGGGATTTTTCAGACGAGAACCGTGAAAGATGCCGTGTTGCCACGACCCCTCTTATAGAGGCTGTTGAGAATCTCTCCACGTTTGCCTCCAACCCGGAGTTCGCCAGCATTCCTGCTCAGATAAGCAACGAGGTGAGAGAATGTTGACCAGTAGCTCTTCAGATGCCTTATTTATGAAGTGTGTGTGTGTGTGTCTGGGAGTACTCTTTAGAAGGCATTTTCTCATCAAACTTACAGCAGGTTCTCAGCAGCACTTAGCCTCAGAATGCACCTTTATGCGTTGCTCTGTTGTTTAGAACGCATGATAAAATGGACCTACTGACTACTCCCATAGCCTTCATGAATAAGTAGGTGATTCCATTGCCTTTGATCTATTGCCTCTAATACTGTGCCAAAACAAAGCAGTTGCTTCAAGTTTCAAAGGGAATTACTATTGGTTTGATGAACCACTTCCCTTTTTTTTCAGTTGGGAAATTACTGAAAGAGAAACAAGGGTCGCCTCATTTTACAGTGTTCCTAAAACATACTTCCTGCACCTTTAAAAGGTTTATCAGTGCAGTCTGTTTAAGGGCTGTGTGAGACTATGGGCCTGTTTGGACAGCAGCTGTTGTGGAGGTAGAGCTTGTTAATGTAATTGTTAGTGGAGGAGGAGGGTATGTAAGATTTTGTGTATGTGTGTGGGCTCATGTGACTTCAGACACTTCTCTCGCTTTCTTTTTGATGTGCACTTTCAGTTGCTTGCCACTCGGTTTGATGTTTTATAATTTATTTCTCTTTTAACGCCTCTTTGAAGATGTTTATAGATTTACATCTGTTAAACTGATTTTAATCACAGTATGGCTAAGGGTTATCAGGGAATCATTTATGTGTTTATGAATGTAGGAGAAAATGATCTGTTGAATTGTCTTATTGATTCTTTTCACCCTGTAACCCTAGGGCTCGGCAGCTCAGGAGCCAATACTACGCTCCGCTCGGTCAATGCTGGACAGTTCCACTCAGTTACTGGAGACTGCCCGCTCTCTCGTCATCAACCCAAAAGACCCACCTACCTGGTCCATTCTGGCAGGCCACTCCCGCACCGTGTCAGACTCCATCAAAAGCCTCATCACTGCCATCAGGTTTGCACAGCCTTCATTTTTCTTTACAAGGGAACAGACAATAGCCTGTTTACATGCAGCCTGATAATCTATTAATAATCTGTCCATGTATACACCTCAGTCGGAATAGACTAGAATGATTGAGGCCATTCGGAAAACAATATCTATCTGATTGAACAAGGTGGGTAATCCTGTACATAATCCTTTAAATAGAAGAATAATAACCATGTAAATGCCTGTATCCGATTACATTCCCAATCGGAAAGTTTAAGTGTGCTCTGCGCATGTGCGTCGCTTCAGGCAGGAGCAGAAACTGGTCTGCAGAGGAGACAAAGTTTATGCTTTGAACTTTAAAAGACAGCAGTGGGATGGGTGTCCAGCTTATGTGTCTCAGAATGTGACGTCTTCCTCTCGCCCTTCTTTAATAAGTACAAGTGCAGTATGTTTTCCTGAGTCTGCCATAATTTTAAAGTAATTACAAACACCAGCACTGCTCACTGCTGCTCGTCTCATTCTGACTGGACTCGTATGATGCTCATTATCATGGTAACGTCAGTGTAAGTGTTTCTCTATGCATGCGCATAATTTGGAATCTGATTACTTGTAGGGTGCTTGTAAACTAAGATTATCCATCAGATTGTTGAGTAGAGTAAGCATATAAACACCTCAGTCTTATCAGAATGTATTCAGTCAGATTGCCAAAAATCTTTGCGTGTCAACATAGCCACTAAGGCAGAGACATTGTCAGAGGAGGAGACAATTCATTGGCTGAATGGTATAGCTTGTGGCCCTAAAATTGTATTACAGAAATGCCACACTTCTATAAAAAGAGCCAATCACCTTGTTTTTTAAGGTGCAATCATGAGAAAGCTCCCTTTGTTGTGAAGATATGCACGTGTGCCACTGAGAACAGCCTGAAAAAAGATGATATTTAAGCCAAAGACCATTTGCCAAGGACTGATACTTCACACTTTTTATTCTGTTTTTGTGCTCATACACTGTCACTTCAGTGTTGTTCACTGTGTACGTCCTACTGTCAGTAAGCCTGGGGAATATCCTCACTCAGCTTGAGTGAAGGAGAGGTGAAAATCAGTCATGCATCAATGCAGCTTAGACCAGTCAAAAAGCTTGTTTGGAGGAAGCTGTACCAGCTTGCTTAATTACCAATCAACGACAAAATAAATGGAAAACTTTCCAGAAGGTTTGAATGTGATCTGTCTGTAGTGAATCATTATAGTGACAACTTTTGTGCTGGAATTTCAGCTGTTGGCCATATTACTCAATACCATGCATTTCTTTCCCTTTCAGTACACTGTGAAATAGCAGCTAATGCTGTCATTTTACTTTGATTTCTTCTGACGATATATTTGCAGAGATACTTTTTTTTCTGTGGGTAGCACATCTTACAAATACATTTTCTGTCGTGTGTTATATTATTATATTAAGTAAGCCTTTAGTCAGGTGTTGGCTTCCTCCACTGCCTTTTTTAATCTATATTTCATACTGGACTCTGATGCTCCGTCTTTGAAAAGAAGATGACTGAAATGGTTGCTCTCTACGTAGTGATGGCTGAATAGCTGTCTCAGACAGACTGCACTGAGCTGTGAATTGCCGTGCTAATTGATGCTCAGTGTTGTTTCCACGTTTAGTGAAAGCGTTTTCGGAGACTGATATGGTGGAGCGGATAAGCTGATGCCGTATCAGGTAGTAGCCCATGCTGGTGTTTAATGCGCATAGACAGGCTGATTTGAGATCAGTTGTTGTGACTGTGGGTAGGGTGTGCTCTCATCTGTAGCCTACTCAGCAAGAAAAGTAGCAGGAGATGGGATTTTTGCCCATTTGGCTGCCATCCAGACCCATTGTCCTCCCAATCCATCCACTCACAACTGGAGCTCAGCCAGTGGGTGCATGTGTGTGTGATGTGTGTGTGTGTGTGTGTGTGTGTGTGTGTGTGGCCAGAAACAGCCAAGTCTGCACTAAGTCTCCTGCGTTTTGGAACAGTAATGTATCTGATGTCTAGATAGAGTAAAGAAACACAGCAGCCTCCCTCTAACAACATCCCCTTTTTTGTTGCTATAGGGACAAGGCTCCAGGCCAGCGGGAGTGCGACCACAGCATTGACAGCATCAACAAGTGCATCAGAGACATAGAGCAAGCCTCCTTAGCAGCTGTAGGCCAGAGTTTACCCTGCAGAGACGACATCTCACTAGAGGTGCCTATATGACTCAGTCTGTGTGTCTATCATTTTGTCTATTATTGTTTGGACACACCAGATTTAGAGTGTTTTCCAAAATATTTTATATATAATCGTGCTCAAGATGCAGTTATACATATAATGCATTTTATAGCATTATCATGTTATAAAATGCATGATAATGCAAAATGGTCTCTGTAGTTATTTGACACAGTCCTAACAGTATAATTCCTAAATATTCCTAAGAGTGAACATAAAAACCATGAACTACTACTGCTGCTCCATTTAAGGCGGAACGGAAATTTTAAATGAGAAGCAGGCAAATAGCAAGCCAACTTCAGCCTCGTTGAGAAAACACAATTCTAGCAGCTACTTCTCCGCACGTGATTTATGCAGCCACTAAGTGCCGATTCTGAACAGGTGAAACAAATAAAACGCTCCACAGTAATGTTAATAGATACCGATTTGCACCTCTGTTTGGTTGTAGAGTGCACCTCCACAGTCCTCAGCTGTGGATTCTGCAGTTTGCTGGGAGTGATTGAGCGATGTAAGAAAATCCGCTCCTTCACTCATTTCAGCCGCAAAGTCAGAGCCACATTATATACAGAAACACAAAATCAGACTATAAATGTAATACATAGATATTGTACTTATTCCTTTGTATTTATGTCTTCTAGAAATTTCACTTGCATCAGTCATTCCTTCAACAAGCACTGTTGTTGTTTAGAGAAAACTGTGGAAATTATAAAAAATAAAAATAAAGATCGTCTCACCGGGTGACTCAATGATGCTGGTTGAGAAGATTCCAAGAGTGTGCAAAGCGACATCAGAATAAATGGAGCTACTTTGAAGAATCTAAAATATAAGATCTTTTGCATTACTCCATATGTACTATTTTTAAAATTTTGTTGTTCTCACTATAATCCCCACTAAAATGTGGGAAATAGTAAAAATAAGGAAAACCCTTTCTCTGAAAAGGTGTGCCCAAACCTTTGTGTGGTACTGTATCTAAACTACTGCTGTACTATAGTATTATTCTACAAAGCATTCATCTGTCTATTTATATCTATCTATTTATATCTCTGTCAGAAGAAATTCTATCTCAGTCCTTTCTCATTATTCATATGCTTTTTCATGGGCATTGTAATCGCTGAGTGAATGTACTGATTTTTGAGTGTCAGTGATGTAATTAATATGGCTGTGCTGGCGGCTCTACAGGCTGTACAGGAGCAGGTGACCTCGGCTGTGCAGGAGATTGGTCATCTGATAGAGCCCATCTCTACTGCAGCCCGTGGGGAGGCCGCGCAGCTTGGACACAAGGTGAACAGCACACACACACTGTCCCTTTTACAACGGAATCACATCAAACAATACATCTCTGTGTTGCTTATAGAACATTCTACATTTAAATTTAGGCCCATTTAGCCCAGATTAGATGTAGTCAGTTCTCCCTTAGTGAACATTTATTCAGTCTGAAATGAGCACAAGGCCTGTCTTGGTGTGATTAACATTGAATTGTGGGGTGATCTTCTCCCAGGTGACTCAGCTGGCCAGCTACTTTGAGCCCCTTATTGTGGCTGCTGTGGGGCTGGCCTCAAAGCACATGGACCACCAACAGCAAATGAACATCTTGGACCAAACCAAGACTCTGGCCGAGTCATCGCTGCAGATGCTCTATGCAGCCAAAGAAGGAGGAGGAAATCCTAAGGTACAGAGTCTAATTACTACCACACAGAAATACACAGTAGGCCAGGTGTACATACGTGTACAAATGCAGTAGCAGCACATAATGTGCCTTGATCACAATATATGCCCACAGCGCGCTTGAATTTAATGTTAGATTTAGTAAGACTGCAGCTTCTCACGCAAGCTGTGCATAGCCCACCCACTAACTGCTTGGTTGTAAGCTAAAATTAGAACGAAAAGCTGAATATTTAGTTTTTGACGGTTTCCTGCTGCAAATCAGGAAACCAGCGAAGTGTTAAAAATGCAAACTCCCTTTGTCTCCAAATCATCTATGTTCCTCTTAAATCTTGTCTTTTCGATAGCTACTAGCTAGGCAAGATTGTTTTCTGCGTTGCTATGGTGACCAGAAGTCTGCGTGCCTATGTTCACGGTTAAAATGTTGGTGAATAAACAGTTGTAGGCTACATTAACTCCAGCGATTAAGACCATTTATTATTAAAACTGTTCTAGAACGATCAGCAGAGCTTTATTTCACTGCAAAGGAGAATTATTGTATTTTTATCTAAAAATCTAATTCTGCCGTGTTGCAAAAGAGCCACATATTGTCGACCCCTGGTGTAGTTGAAAGATTTAGATTTGTCATTAGTTTAATTTTTAAATAAAAAAAGCTTTATTCAGAAAGTGCTGTTTTACGTTTTCATGTCACTACCGAAACACAAAAACTTTCAGTCCATAGGCGAAGCATTATTTTAGCCACACCCCTGCATTTTAGAGCAGGAGCTGAGACTGCATCCATGTCCCTCATGACCACAAGGTGAGCAGTTAGATCACATTGTTTTGAAGTAAATATGTCCCAAAATCAGTGTTGACCATTAAGAATTGTCATAATTTCTGCAATTAAGTAATTGTTTGTGTTTTTATGAAAACTGTTATGATTTTATGTGTGTGCAGCTGTTGAAAGCTGGGTTTGCTAGTCATGTACTGAATAGCATTTTTGAGTTATGTTCAAAATGGGCTAAAATTGTCAATACTGACGCATACATACACACATCTCCCATAGGCGTGCCATACCCATGATGCAATTGCAGAAGCAGCGCAGCTGATGAAGGAAGCAGTGGATGATATCATGGTGACACTGAACGAGGCAGCGAGTGAAGGAGGGATGGTGGGGGGTATGGTGGAGTCTATTGCTGAGGCCATGGGACGGGTGAGTTCAATGCTGTCATCAGAATTCACTTTATATAGTACTGTAATGTAGCATCAGCTTAGTGTCAAATTTTTAAAAATCGCTTTAATAAGGTTTGCTGATTATCACACATTTGGAAAATGTATTATTATTTATTATAATAATAGTAATAATATTAATAATTCATTTATTTGTATATTACTTTTTAAAACATTGTGCAAAGTTATTTATTTAAAGATTAAAGCAAACAAAATACAATGGCAAAATACATGGCAAAAATAAATCAAGTTATATTATATATATGTAATATAACAATTTTAATACAGTATTAAAAATGCATTTTAAAATGTTAAAAACCGCAGGAGGCTTTTCAGGTTCAGAGTCAAACTGCCTCCAGCTGTCAGTCAGTTACTGATCGATATTGTAGTTGTATGTGTTGTATGTGTTTATAAAAGAAGACAGTATATGATGGCAGTAGCTGTACATAGCTGCTAGCAGCCTGGTCCTTTCAGCTCCATGCTAAGTGCTCGAGGCTGGTAGCGGATGCTGGAAAGAAGGCTTTTCAGCAGCTGTTATTAGCAAACTGCAGGAGGCTTTTCAGGTTCAGAGCCCAAGTGTCTCCAGCTGTCACTCACATACACAAGGACTGTCACTGAGAGTGTAGCCCACCATGCAGCTCCATATTAGCCTCCATTTGATCCTATATCAGCGTTCATCTCATTCAAGTATGTCTGCAGTCTTTCATTATGTTGTCAAGAAGACACATGAAGGAGGACAATGGTGACAATTGAAACATCACTACTGATTAATTTTCACACATTTTCCACATAGATAGTAATTTGCAGCAAAATGATATTCAGTTTTTCTGTAAGCCCTTCTCTGTCAAGGGGTACACAGCTAAAATCTGCCTTTTTTGGGGTGGTTGATTGGTTCAGATGGATGAGGGAACACCCCCGGAGCCAGACGGCACATTTGTGGATTACCAGACCACCATGGTGAAATTCTCCAAGGCTATCGCCATCACTGCACAGGAGATGGTGAGTAGCACATTATAACATTAGCCTCCCAGAGCTCTCAGCTCTGTTTCCTAAACACCTGTTGCCTAGAAGTCTGTGTCTCTGTTTAATGCATGTAAGACTTTGCGAGGTCAGTTACGGCAGTGCTAGAAGCAGGCCTGGAAGATAATAATGGAAATTATTATTTTTTGCAATATCAGGATGCAGGTCTGAAAAAATGCATAAGCCATTTAGTTCCCTTATCAAATATTGTAAGAAAAAGCTTTGGACAGTTGCTACTTCAGGTGCTACATCTACTGTCTAGATGGAAGGGGGTAAGAAGTCTAGCCACAGCCTCAGCCTATCTATTTGTTTATTTACAGATATAAGAAATATAAAATATATTTAATTTACATTTTGTCTTTGTAATAAATCATTTTGTATAGGTCTATTGCAGCATTTTGTTTTCTTCAGAGTTCAAAATGCTGTTAAGACTTCAAATGATGCATTAGAAAATGCATTATATGATAATAACTGTGAAAGATTAATAAATGATACGAAACATAATCATGTTATGATTTTTGCCTATATTGTCCAGCCCTGTTTGGATGTAGTTAGAATGAATGTAAATGAATAGGTTGAGCTGTATCGCTGGTGCATAAGCTGATACATACGCTGATACATACGCTGATTCTGTGTCCCAGATGACGAAGTCAGTGACCTGTCAGGAGGAGCTGGGTGGCCTTGCGTCTCAGGTGACAGTGGACTACAGCCAACTGGCCCAGCAAGGCCGCTTGGCAGCCGCCACAGCCGAGCCGGAGGAGGTGAGGATCAGTCCAGACAGACTGCCTGTCCTCCACGGACCAGTGCACTGGAGACAAGCGGAGAGAGACACACACACTTATGCACAGATCATATAAGCATGAAGCGCAGATGGCTACCCTCTTAACATGGGCTCATATTTCTCATACTGAGATCATAATATACTGGCAGATTATGATGCCATAAACTCCACCTTTGATCTAAACGGTCGTAGACATGCAATTTCATCCGTTTGCTTATCTTTCGGAGTAAAGGTGTAAGCTCCAGTGATGCGTCAAACCTCGCTTGTGTATATTTTAGTCCACATCTTCAAGAAGAGAGCATGAAGTGTGAATCCACAGTCCGCTAGCCACCAGCTCTCTTCAATAGCCTTTACATAAGCAGCTGCTGCTGTTACCATAGTGACTCTGTACCCCCGCTAACTTCAAAAGCCTGTGGTGATGTGGTAATGAAGCACCACCCACCCATGGATCTGTGTGTCAGGAAATTAAAGGTGTAGTGCCATCAAGCCCACTCACCAGCAGTCACAATCCTTTCATTATTCACCCATCGGCCTTTGTGATAAGAAGCGAGGCAGTATAGGGTCTAGGCTGGAGACAGAGACCAGAGCACATAGACTTATGCTTGGCTGGAGTCTTACTGTGATGACCATCCCTGTGTTTCTCCAGGTGGGCTTGCAGATAAAGACGCGTGTGCAGGAGCTGGGTCATGGCTGTATTTACCTGGTGCAGAAGGCTGGAGCCCTACAGATGAGTCCAACAGACAGCTTTACCAAGAGGGAGCTGATCGAGTGTGCTCGGGCCGTCACTGAGAAGGTAGGCCTGATACGGTCCCGTCATCCTCCATTCACGTAGCACCGCTCAGCTCCTTTTTCTTTGTTACGTGTGGTCCCTGTACTTTGAATGCGGTAAATGATATGGCTGGGAATCCAAATAGGCCCTACGATACAGTATTATCACAGTACAGTTCTGAGTTGTGATATGCTGTGTGTTGAAATATGACGTGATGTACCACTTTATACTACAAAATGCCTTCAAACTTTGTTTTATCCAGTGAAGCTTAGACTCTGTTCATCTCACTTCAGCCTTTTTTCTAAGTAGTCAAAGCAACTTTCAGAAACAATTTATCCTGACATTTATGTATTTAGCAGATTCTTTCATTTGCGAGATCGACAAAACAGCATTCCAAAAACAGATTTTGTATTTAGCGGATACTTTAATCCAGAGCCATTCACTGGTTATTGGATGTTTCTCTGTGTGGTGGGCTGTGCAGTTCCACCAAAAAAGATCAGTTCTGCTTCTATTCAGTGCTGTGACACCGTTCTATTAGAAAGCTGAATGTGCTTCTGTCAAACGTTGGCCTTGCTGCTGCATCTTGTTGAAGAAAACTGAAAATCAGTGGGCTGAAGCATTTCAGATCACTACGCCATTAAATGGAAGCAAATCTGTGTTTTGTGTTTGGGTTTTGAATGTGGCACAGTGTGCGTTATTGTAAAAGTGAACTGGCACCAGGATGTTTAGGACTGTTGCCATCCATCTTTCCAACCTTGAGATGTCTGAAATAATAGTGTGTTAAATGAGCTGTGCCTTTTCATTTAAATGGAGTGCCATTTACCCCAACAAAACTTTGCTAGAACAATTATGTAAAGCTTTGTTCCTGCCTTAGGAATATTGTCGTGTGCTTTAGCACATCCTTTGAGTTGCACAAAACAGTTATAGTTTTAATTTGGTAATGACTTAGTATGAATGTACCGTGTATAGTGGACAGTGCACTGGGGAGGTGCACATCAAGAGCCTGGCCTCTGAAGGGTTAATGAGAGTAATAACATTGTCTAGACCAGACATAATTGTGGTGACAAGAAAATAGCTCCAGCAGTGCGGTGGAGAAGATTGCTTGTCACTGTGCCTGTACCCATGTACCATGCTGCACATTAGATGGCTGGAAGTGTGCTTAGTCATTGCCATTGGCTTTATATGCAATATTAATACAAGCCTTAGTTCACCAACTTTGGACGATACATTCTCAGTACATTTGCTTACTTTCTACTGAACGTTGTTCTTGGTTGTGTAAAATGAATCATGATTGGTTTCTTGTTCCTGGTGTTGTAAATGTAAAAGATTAGCTCCATTATGGTGTGTTTGTTCTTGATTACATTTCTGTGGTAAGGGAGTGTGGAGCAGAGCCCCACTGTGCAGGAGCAGTGCTGGAGCTGCTAGCTGGCTGTAAGTGAGCGCAGTGGATGTGGGTCTGCCTGATAGAATTCAGCTCTCGCATCCGCCTGGAATGATTTCAACATTAATATGAACGGGCAGCTTGAGCCTTCAACCACACTGAAATGCTTCTCCTGTGGCTTTTCATCTGTGTGTGTAAACAGTTTTCTTTCTTGTTGCCTCTCTCTCTATCTCCATCTCTTTCTCTCCTTCTCTCTATCTCCCCCTCTTTCTCTCTCTCTCTCTATCTCCCTCTCTTTCTCTCCCTCTCTCTCTCTCTCTCTGTCTTTCTCTCTCTCTCTTCTTCCTTTCTCTCTCTTTCTCGCCCTCTCTCTGTATCTCTCTTTCCCTCTCTCTCACGCTTACATGCTCAGTCTCGCTCTCTCTCTTTCACTCCTTCTCTTCTTTTCTTCCTTTCCTTCTTGCTGTTTTTCTCTCTCTCATTCTACCCCTTTCCCCATTTTTCTCTGTCTCACCTCTCTGTTTTAATTTCTTCTCTCTCTCTTATCTCTCTCTCTCTCGCTCTCTCTCTCTGTATCTCTCTCTCTCTCTCTGTTGCTGTCTCTCTTTTTCTCTCCTTGCCTCTCTTTTCCTTCCTCTGCCCACTTTTCCCCTCTCCTGTCTTTCTTGTTCTCCCTGCCTCTTTCTCTCTCTCTGTCTGTCACTCACATGTGCTCTCTTGTCCTCTCCTTCTTCCTCTCTTCCTTTTGTCCTTCTCCTTCTTCCTCTCTTCCTCTTGTCCTTCCTCTCGTGCTCTCTCTCTCTTTTCTTTTTGCTCTCTCTCATGTTCTCTCTGTCTCCCCTCCCTCCTATCCCCTCTCGCTCTATCTCTGTCACTCTTACATGCTTTTTTACTCTCTTGTTCTCACCCTCTTCCTCTCCTTCTCCCTCTCCCTTTCTCTCTACCCCTTCTCCCTATCTCCCTTTACCCCTTCATCTCTCTCTCTTTAGCTCTCTCTCTCTCTCTCTTACTCATTTCCTCCTTTTCTTCTTTTCTTCCTCTCCTTTTTGCCCTCCTTTTCTCTCTTATTCTACTCCTCTTCCCCTATTTTTCTCTCTCCATCTCCCCTTTCTCCCACTGTTTCTTCTCTCTCTCTGTTCCTGTCACTCTTTTTTTGTCCCTGCCTCTCTTTTCCTTCCTCTCTGTCTCCCTTTCCCCTCTCCTGTCTCTCTTGTTCTCTGTCTCTCTCTCATTCACTGTTACATGCTCTCTCTTTTGTTGTCTACCTCTTTCTCTCTTCCTGTTGTTCTTGCTCTCTTTTTGCTCTCTCCTGTTCTCTCTGTCTCTCTCTTTCTCTCCCTCTCTCCCCACTCTTTCTCTCTCCCTCTGTCTGTCTCCTGCTCCCTCCTATCCCCACTCACTCTTTTTCTCTCTCTGTCACTTTCACACGCTCTCTCCCTTTCTTGCTCTCTCTCTTGTTCTCTCCCTTTGTCTCTTTCTCTCCTTCTTGCTCTCCCCTTCTCTTTCTCTTCTCCTTCTCCCTATCTCCCTTTATCCCTTCTCTCTCTGTCTCTCTCTCTCTCTCTCTCTCTCTCTCTCTCTCTGTGTAAAAGCTCTTTCTGTCTGTGTGTAGATATATCGCGCTTCAACTTTATGTTCCGAGTTCCAAAACGAGCGATATTCATCTCACTCGAGGTTGAGCGAATGTGCTGTTTGATTCATAGCACCTTTGCCTCTTTCACTCTCCGTTGCTTTGCATCATTCTTCATGTTTGTCTCATTCCCCCTTCAGATAGATTCAGCTTAGAGTGCACAGTAAATCATGGTGATGGCATTATTCAGTGCTATCAACAGTGCTAAATTCCCTTTTATCCAAACTCAGGGCATCCACTTGAAGCTGCGTGCCAGTTATGAGAGTAATTAATCAGATTAGTGTTTGCATACTCTGTATGACCCTGTGTGTTTCCCTCCTGCAGGTGTCCATGGTGTTGTCCGCTCTGCAGGCCGGTAATAAGGGCACCCAGGCGTGCATCACGGCTGCCAGCTCCGTCTCAGGCATTATCGCTGACCTCGACACTACCATCATGTTCGCCTCTGCAGGCACACTCAACGCAGAGAACGACGAGTCCTTTGCAGACCACAGGTGAGAGAGAGGGACGAGCAGCATTAACCCCTAGAGCTGACAGCAGTGATAGCAAAGCATGCTGTAGTTTTATGGTAATTATTTCTCACTCGTAGCACATTGACACAAGCAGGGAAATTCAGTCAAAAGTGCAAATTATAAGCATTCAATCAAAGCCACATTTGTGACATTGATTGAGGAGATATTTTAATATGATGATGTGAATTCCATGCAAAATTATCCCTGTGCATATGGTCTTATTTTACAGGAAGAAAACTGCTTTCTCCAGTAAGACCAATAAAGTTGAAGTGACAATATTTTCCATTCAACAACAAACAACAGACCTGAATTGGAGGTCCAAACTTGTTGATACAGAATGTAAATTAAGTATAAATGTAATTCATTATGCTATTGACTATATAATTAATTTTATGATTGCATAAAAGAGATGTCGGAGTTAACGCACTAATAACACATTAACATGATAAATTATCAACATCACTCATTTTTTAAAGCTGTTAACACATTTTTCTAGTTTGATTCTTCAAATCATCCATGGTAGTGCAGGCTGATGTCCCGCCGCTCTCTGCTTGTGCACTGTATGTCGCTATGATGAAATCCACGAATATAGCCATCTTGTTCAATGCAGCTTTTAAACAGCTTTTAAAGCAATATTTTCAGAACGAAAGCAAGAGGGGCCTAATATCGAAGGAGTTGGAATTGTTAAAATACAGCTCTCGTTGGGTGTCTGTGATGAAAATTGAAAGTAGTAAATAAGTTCTGGTAAAGCTCATTTTATCCACTCATATAACAGTAATAAAGTGCACTGATTTTTAAATGAAAAAGATCTTTCTTTAAGATCAAATAATAAAACCAAATAATGTGATTAATCACAATTAATTATTTTAATTTCTTGATAGCACTGTAAGTACATTTTAATAGTTTGCAGAAGGACAGTAATCACTCTAGACTTTACAGGGTTAAACTCAGAGACTGATTTGATGATTTCTTAGTTCTTCAGACATGTTTATGTTTTGTAAAGTTTGGTTAGAAGTGAAGAACCTTCTGTTTTAACCATTTTCCACCCTGTCCTTCTGCTGTGTGAGCATTGTACAGTCATAGATGTGCTATGTGCTTTTCCATGTGTATTGGTCTTCAGGGAGAACATCCTGAAGACAGCGAAGGCTCTGGTGGAGGACACCAAGCTGCTAGTAGCTGGAGCAGCATCCAGCCAGGAGAAATTGGCCCAGGCTGCACAATCTTCAGCCAAGACCATCACTCAGCTAACTGACGTGGTCAAACTAGGGGCTGCCAGCATGGGCTCCGAGGATCCAGAGACACAGGTGTGTGTGTGGGTGGGTGTGTCTGTGTACAGTCTATCTAGCTTTACGGTTCCCTGTAGGATCCCTTTTTAGAAAGTTTACCTCTAATTTAGATCTACTGGTGCTGAAACTCTTTGAGAAGCTTTTAGTGAAAGGATTACCTCCTCTGTGTTCAGCTCTTTTTCTGGGTGCTTTTGTATTCCACCACTTATTCCTTGTTTCATTCTGCCTCAGGGGTATTCCTCGCAGTTCGAATGATGCTATCAAGCAGTGTGTGTAGAGCTTCTCACAATACTATTAACTCTCATTCTCTCCTCAGTGTGAGGGTCCGTTTCTGGGTCTTAGTGATAAGTCTCCATCACTCTTCCTCTTTCTCTCTCTCACTCTCTCTCTCTCTCTCTCTCTCTCTCTCTTTCTGTCTGTCTCTCTCTCTCACCCAGCCTCAGGTGGCTTAGATATGGAGCTGTACTCTGCTCTGCTCTGCTCCTCATGTGCTCTTTGATAAAGCAGCCATGGCGTGTATCATATCCCCAGGTGTTCCTGATAAAGGCTGTGTGCTTGGACTGCTCTGTTGACTTGAGCGTTCTTGCTCTCTGTCTTACTTTCTTCTCTCCTTCTTTCTTCAGGTGGTTTTGATCAACGCAGTGAGGGATGTGGCTAAAGCTCTAGCTGAACTGATAGGAGCCACTAAGTGTGCAGCAGGGAAAGCAGCAGATGACCCCTCCATGTACCAGCTAAAGAGTGCTGCCAAGGTAAAGTGTGTGTGTATTTTTGTTCTTGAACATGTTCATGACAAAAATGTCCTGACTTTGTAGGAAATCCACAGAAAAACAGAAATAACCTACAATGTCATGACTGGCAAAACTGTCCTGACTTTGTGAGGTGGTGTTTTCGCAATTGCTCCATGATTCATGATTTTTACTGAAAGAGCAAGACATTTTGGTTATTGAGGTATACAGTACTGTATCTCTATCTGTATCTGAAATATATATATATATATATATATATATATTTGTGTGTGTGTATGTATATGTATATAATGCCTATTGATCCTTTATATGGAGCTTGCTCTTTATATATATATACTGTGTTAAGGTGAGAGACCATTATGACAAATGGCCGTTAAGTTTTTTCAGAGTCAGTGTAGAGTCAGTTTTCGGCATTTACTGTGTCCACCCTTTGGACACCTTCCGAAGCTTAATTTTCTCTTATCTCTTAAAATAAAAGCTTTCAGTATTGTTTATCTAATGGTAAAAACATTTTCAAAGCATTTTCAAACAATTTCAAAGCATTTCTGTTGGTCCATTATGACATTTTCACACAATGTAAAGAGCAGCTACTGTAGTCAAATGATGTAGAAATGTAAAATGACCCAAATGGAGATAATTGGTTTTGTTTTGTTTTTTTGTGTTTGTTTTTGTTTTTTGTTTTTATTTTGGGACAGTGACAGTATTTATTATATTTTGCATAGCATTATCAAATGATGTACTGTATGATATCACAGTGCTGTCTGTGTATGTTTGTGTGTGCGTGTGTGGTGTGTGCGTGTGTTGTGTGTGCATGCATGTGTGTGTGTGTGTATGTTTGTGTGTGTGGTGTGTGCATGCATGTGTGTGTATGAGTGAGTGTGTGTGTGACTGCCAGCTGGCTTTGACAGTCTCTGGTTGTCTTGGCTGTGTGCAGTGCTATCACAATTCGCTCTGTCATCTCTGTGTGTGGCCATCGCTCAAGCCCTGTGTTACTCGGATGCCTTTTACTCTGTGTGTGTATATGTGTGAGACTCATCGGCCACACAGCAGGGGACAGAGCCAGGCTGCGTGCAAATACAGTACTGTATGTGACTCAAGTGCATTCTTACCATCTCCCTCTTCTTCTCTTTCTTTCAGGTTAACTTGGACATTTAAAAGCAAAATGTTTGATTTATGAATTCATGTCACATTGATCTTATGACCCTGGCACCCTTTATTTGCACTTGAGCTGTTTAAAGGTGTGTCAGAGTGAAACCTTCATGTAGTCGCTCTGCCAGAGCTGCCCTCTCTTTCACACATTCTTTAATCCTCTTTCCGTTTAGCCGATACTCTTGACCTTTAGGAATTAAGCTCCACTTGCCTGTAACTCTACCTGTTTTATTTATCATACTTTACTAATGAGCCTAGTTTGATCTGTGCTGCTCTTGTGACCTCCACACAGACTGTTTGCATTCCAGCAACATATGGTGACCTCCAAACCTTTTTTCCTTATTCCTCTATCACTAATTACATTCAGTGTGTGTTTAACTCAGACACAGAGTTCCTCAAGGCACTACTCTGGGTCCTTATGTTTTTGTACCTTTCTCTCTAACTGTTTGCATTCCAGCAACATATGGTGTCCTCCAAACCTCTGAGTTTTCTCTTTGTTCTTCTATTACCAATTACATTTGATGTGTGTATAACTCAAACATGGAGTTCCTCAAGGCACTATTCTCGGTCCTTATGTTGTTAAAATCAGAATCAGTCACTTTATTTTGCCAAGTATGTTACACATACAAGGAATTTGTATGTAACATACTAAACAGACCAGACAAGCAAACAGACTATTAACAAACATTAGACTGAAGGAAAAAGTAAAATAAAATACAATAAATAGAAAATAGAATAAAGAGTAATAATAAAAAAACAGCCGATGTGAAGGGAGCTCAGGAGATGTGGGATATCCATATATCTGTGATGTGTGGATATCTGTACGTATGAGATGTGTGGATATCTTTATATAAGAGATGTGTGAGTATCTGTACATGTGAGATGTGTAGATATCTGTACATATGGGATGTGTGGATATCTGTACATATGAGGTGTGTGGATATCTGTACATATGAGGTGTGTGGATATCTGTACGTATGAGATGTGTGGATATCTGTACATGTGAGATGTGTGGATATCTGTACGTATGAGATGTGTGGATATCTGTACATATAAGGTGTGTGTGGATATCTGTACATGTTAGATGTGTGGATATCTGTACATATGCAGATAAGAATGTCTGTACATATGCAGGTCAAGTAGACATGTGCTATAAAATGTACTATAAAAGCTATTATACAGAATATACAGAACATTACAGAGCAATCCTAGATATGGGGGTCTGAGGTCCCCAGCCTCTGTCCTCTGAACTTTTTGTTGCTACTAGAATTCCATTCCTGTTCCCAGTAATATCACATAAAAAATGGAAGAGAAAGTTATAATTGTAGTTCATATTTTAAACAAACCAAAAATACGTATGTATTACTTTTTTTTACATTTTTTTGTTAGAAGCTCGACAGTGTACACACCCACACGCGACAACAAGAGCTTCCTCAAACACACCCACAAGAGATAAACATGAGGTGACATTAGCGACTTGTTGCCTCCTAGCCATTAAATTCACAGTGTGCACTAACACTTAAAGCTACATGGGTCTTCACACCTGCTCTGGTAACACTGTCTCAACATTCTGTAAATCTTCAGCTTATACTGTTGCACTGCCCAAGTTCAGTGCTTGAATAATTAAATAAATTCATGTCCTCCTGGGCCTTCACTGTAGTGTTGGTTTCACCACAGTTAGAATGTTCTGAATCAGTCCTGTACTGTCATTTAGCTTAGGTGTAGAGTGCTAAAACATGCCAATTGTGATGATTGTCCAGGGCCACTAGGGGCATTGTTACAACTGTCACGTGCTGCTGTCATGTAAGGCACACCACTACCATGTGAAAATATCATAGCGTGGTACATTTACGGTCAATGCTGTAACTACTGCTGCCTTTTACTGTAGTATTGATCACAGCTCCCCCTGCTGGTGTTTGGGTCAGTTCAGTCCAATGCATTTATTTTCATCTGAATTTTGAGCCACAGTCAACTTACATTTATAACACCAGTGCTAAGCTGCTTGCTCCTCCCTCTTTTGCTGTGCATCAGGTGATGGTGACTAACGTGACGTCTCTGCTGAAGACTGTCAAAGCAGTGGAGGATGAAGCTACTCGCGGGACGAGGGCTCTGGAGGCCACCATCGAGTTTATCAAACAGGAGCTGACTGTACGTAGCAGTGAGGGGCGTTGGATTAAGACAAAGATATAATTATGCTTCAGAAGCATAATGTATTTCAGACATTACAACGATTAATGCTATTGAATATGTTAAGGGTACTGATTGCATTGTAACCCACAGCTCAATCCCACACAGACCCCATTTTGTCTCCCAAAAAACAGAGCATTTATATGATGAAATGTCAGTTTTCTTTGTTCTTTGTACATTTAGTTAAACTATGCTAATATATGTCTTTCTCATATTTCAGCCTGGCTAGGAATTAGCATCAGTTAGGTGTAGCTAATGAGTATTGGCTATGCTAGAAAGTCTTTGTGTCCATCTGTGGTATCTGCTGCTGGTACATGGAGGGACACAGAGTGAGGTTTGACTTTGTGCCTATCCTCCACATGCTCTGCTAGGCCCCTGGGGTGTCCTGTTCCGCTTATCAGGGACAGAGTGGCAGATTGAGAGAGTGGAGGAGAGAGCCAAGAGTTCTCAAGAGCCGCTTTTGCTTCTGATTTAATGTTAATCCTTGCTTGGGCTTCCCTGAGAGACTACCAGCATTTAACAAGCCTTACAGTGATTACCAGACCAAACAGTGCCACTGCAGTCACCTTTCAAGAGCAATTAATGATAGATTCACAACCTGTACAAGTGCATGTCTTTGGTTTTGGTTTAGGTATCGTTCTATGATTTTAGATCGTTTAAGATTTCAGATAGAGTATTTCGCACAGGCAGCATCGACACATGCAATACATTGTCACCGTCATATTTAAACCTCCATTTTTTGGTTTATATATATATATATGTATATATATATATATATATATATATATATATATATATATATATATATATATATATTATACTGTTTAAAAAAGCCAGCCTTTTAATAACAAATGAAACAATAGAAATGGCCCAAATGTATTTGGAGTAAAATCTTATTACATTAATGTACCATAGTAACTTTGCAGGAGAAGGCAAAAGCGTTTTTAATTTTTATTGTAGTTAAAGTGATTTTATTCCAAGTAATTTTGATAACACAAGTCACAACAGGTAGAAACTATTATTGAGAATATTATAAAGCTCTTGTTCAACTATTGTATGCGTTCAACTGAAACCACTGTGTTGTCATTGGCTCAGGTTTTCCAGTCCAAGGACACTCCGGAGAAAAGCACAACACCAGAGGAGTTCATCCGCATGACCAAGGGCATCACTGTAGCCACAGCCAAAGCTGTAGCAGCAGGCAACTCTGGCCAGCAGGAGGACGTGATCGCCACTGCCAACCTGAGCCGCAAAGCCATCTCTGACATGCTGGTCACCTGCAAGGTGCTAATCCATACACACTCACAAAACCCACACTTTCTCATTCTCCCTCATACATATACACACATACACATAGTTAAACGCAAACAAACTTGCTTTCATTCAGCAGCGTTGGCACTAACTCCTCCAGCTGAAAGAACTTGGAAGCATATGAGAGGCTTGTGGGCAGTGTGAATGCAGTTCACTCACTTCTCAATGTCACTTTGTGCTACACTTCTCTGACTCCCAAATGCTGCTATCTAGTGTCGCCATACCGCAAATAATGTTTTAAGCTCTGGCTTAAAGGCAGCAGCATGCTAAAGAGAAATACCCAGCTCCACTGTTACACCACGATCGTTCACACTGATTCAGTATAGCTTAGGAAGTAAACAACAGTCAGATTGATTGAACACTCATTATTGAGTTTGCCTTCCAGCCATCTGGAGGTTTTAGCACTAAAAGGCTTTTCTGTATGCTTTTATGCATTGTGCAGGTATAATAAACATTACGTAAGGCTCTGTCTCAATTTCTTGCAGCAAGCTGCATACCACCAGGAAGTGGCTGAAGATGTGAGAAACAAAGCCCTGCTCTATGGCCTAGAATGTACCACCGGATACATCGACCTGCTCGAACATGTCCTTCTGGTGTGTGTGTTTCTGTTTAGGGTATCAAGGTGTAGGTCAGAGGCCGCTTACTCTTATACTCTTTTACTGCTCTTAAGTGGGGTCCAAATAAGGGTGCAGATTCTATCCTTGACCTTCATGGTTAGCTATAGGTAAAGGCCATGGTGTAGCACTGGATAGTAGTTTATCATTTGAGTCCCAGATTAGTAATATCTCTCAAAACGCATGCTATCACATGCTACAAGATGCTGAGAAATTAGATGATGTTTTCATAACTTCTAGATTAGCCTACTGTAAAGTGTAAATAATCTCCATCTAAATAGTTAAGAATACAATACTAGAAAAGCAAGTTTGAGTCTATTACTCTGGTCCTACTCAGTTCACTCTGACTTCCTGTTAAGTTCCGCATCGACTACAAAGTCTTGCTTATGACATTTAAAGCTCCTAATGGCCTCACTTGAGTATATCTGACTAATCTGTTGAAGCATTATAGCCCATCCAGACCACTTAGCTCTGCTGAGGCAGGCTTACTGAAAAGCCAAAGATCATTTACAGCTCATTGGTGAAAGACCATTTTCTTATACAGCTTCTAAACTCTGGAATAGCTTTCTAGAGAATATTAGGAATGCATGTTTAATTTTTTTTAAATATTGAAATTGAATTGAAAACAGATTTGTTTAGGCTAGTATATGCTTAGACATATTACGGCTCATTTTCTCTTGTTTGTAATTGTGCTGTCATTAATTTAAAGTGCACTGTTTTTTCTTTATGTTTTACTGACAATACTCTGTAAAGCATTTTGAGATTTTGTAGCTAAAATGAAAAGTGCTATTTAAAAATATGTATTATTATTAACATACAGGCAGAGATGAACAGTATTTTAGTTAGGTGTATGTGTTGGAGTGTTAGTAAAACATGGAAATGGAAAAAAATGCCTTTTAATGTGTGTTTGTGTGATGATTTCATTCCAATAATTTTGGGCCATTTCTATTGGTTGAATCATCATGTACAGATGTACAGAGAAACTAGCATTTTAAGTGGTGTAAAAACAAATTAAAAAATGAAAAATTTCTGAAATGCTATGTTTTAATGTTTCAGCAAGTGTTTTATTGTGACTGTGGTACCAGTTTGGTAAAACCCCTAGATTAATATTTGTTGTTTTCAACTTATTTAGATATCTTTACTGTATAGCATTCACAATGTTGATGGCTGTATTTCTGCATTGGCTGTATGTTCCAGGTCCTCCAGAAGCCTACAGCAGAACACAGGCAGCAGCTGGCTGTGCTTTCAAAGAAAGTAGCCAGCTCAGTCACCGAGCTCATCCAGACTGCAGAAGCCATGAAAGGTGACATTACACTCATACATACAAACCCTCTACTCTATCTCAATGGATAATGCATACTTTTAGTGCATGTCTAACAAAGAAAAAGCATTTTATCTGCTATAAAAACAGCAATGAAACTTGTTTTACCAGTAGATAGTTGTTCATGTTCATAGACCAAACAGACTTTAAGAGCAGTCAGCCTAGGCTATCAGGTAAAGCTTATGTAATCTGGAGTGCAGGCCTAGGTTCACTCAGGAACGGCCTATCAGTGTTAGCCGTAATAGGCAGCATGTTGGGGGTTGAATTGGATCTGTGCAGGGTTAATAAAGCCATTGGTCCATGGGGACTCTCAACTTCACTTCTCTAATGCAACTGTTTTCATTTTCTCTGCTGCAGACGGAGGTGAGTATGAGACAGTACAAGTGTTATTCTTCTGAATAGAGACAAAGACACATGGGGGAACAGCATGTGGGAGGGGGTAGAGTTCTCCAGGATTCAGCATAATCTTGAAAAACATCTCTCCATGTGCTTACACTAGCTGTTAAGAAAAGGACATTTTTATGGGCACTTAAAAGTCTATAAAGAAGTGGGATAATACATCAAAAAGTGAATTTCCCTAAACTGCACTTAAGCAGTGCACTGATAATTAAAGCAAGGACATGTGTGTGTGTGTGTGTGTGCATGTGTGTGTGTGTGTGGTGTGTGTGTGTGTGTGTGTGTGTGTGAGGGAAGCAAATGCTGCTTATCATTAATCATCTTTCATGTGAAGTAGCCATGTGCAGCAGGCTCCCAAATGGTTTATTAAAGGGTTGTGTCCTATTACCGAGACACAACTTTGAACGCCATAGGCATTTCTGACTTGGACCCCACGAGTGCACAATTTGCCCTGCTGTCTGGGTGGGATGGATTAGTTCCTCTCTACTGTCCATCTACAGCAGTACAGACTGATGGTGGGCGGCTGCTGGCTCACATATACAGAGTTGTGCAGTTAGCACTCACCTTCAGGCACTTTCTGATGTTGTGTGAACAGCAGTTTGGAGGGATGCAGTGGCCAGCTTCATGTATCTCAGAGCAAGCACTTGTTTGCTCCCACACTCCCAGATTAGTTGTTCTGTGCAATAGGGCAGATAGTCGGATGGGAATTGGCAACAGCTAACATTAGAAAGATAATTGGCAAAAGTCCAAAAAAAAAGAAAACAAAGAAAAAACAATATATGTATGGGTTCTGTATATCTTATTGGCTTTATAGATATATTGGGTAAATTGGGTCAGTATGACTCCTGGATTCTACTCTACTGTTTTACAAATTTGGAATCACTTAGTTTTGGGATATTTTATATACAATAATAATTTATAAAACAGAAATAGGTATTTAAGATATTTTGTTTAGTATTTTAAGAATTTCATGACACACAACATGAACACTTTATAAATAATACAAAATATCATGTGATTGTCTACTTACAATAATTTGTCCAGGTATCTACCTTGAAGTTTGATCAACACATTTGAAATACAATTCATTTGATTATAATTTCATTCTCAATGCTTTCTCAGTTATTTTAGTCATTTGTTGTTCTACAGCTTCTTACGTACTACTTAAAACATCTCAAGTTGCACAGGTTTAACATATTAGAATTATTTTAAATATTTACCTGCAGTTAGTTTTATCTTGTTGATTCCAGACTTTTCAGTGGTAGTGTAATTTACGTTCTTTGTTTTTAGACACAATCAGCCTTGTTTACATGACTTTTGTACATCAAATCTCATTATACACTTCATATTTTGTTAATGTTTGCTCTGCTTCTTTTCTCTGACAACTCGGTGGCACATTTCAGGCTCAGAGTGGGTGGACCCTGAGGATCCTACAGTGATTGCTGAGACAGAACTGCTAGGGGCTGCTGCATCCATCGAGGCTGCAGCCAAGAAGCTGGAGCAGCTTAAGCCCAGAGCCAAGCCTAAGGTATCCATCCATCCATTCAGCTCTGACTCACTCCGTACCACTCAGCACTGTATTCATAAACACCCCTCCAGGCCGCAGTAACTCTGTCCACCAGCATACCTGTGTCAAATGAATCCCACCTAGGGCTAAGGGTGCTGGAATGCTCCATTGGCTGGTATGGGGGTTCCGAGTTCTCTGAGGAATTTGATGTCTCAGGCATGGTATTTGAGGTTCAGGGGCAATTTCTTGTGTTCCTTGTGATTTCTTGCCCGAGGGCACGACTGCATTGTTTGGTATTTTGAAGTTTATTTTTGAGTGAGCTGAACTTAAAGTCAAACCTGCCTGAAACTCTGAGTAAAGGAAAGGTCAGCACTTTCTGAAATGATTTTTCTCAAAGGTTTTTCATTGTTGTATCCATCTGTATTAAACTAAAGCTGTCAAGATGCTTTTTACTTGAAGTCATTCTGCAGTTTATGCTTCACAAAGCAAAATTTTACTGTTTTTCTCCCAGTTTTATTCCCCCAGTAGAAATCACACAGCCGGTGCAATTCAGCTAACTGCCACATACAACATTATTACTGTTATTACTATTATTGATCAGGGTGAAAGCAAAGAATTCCATATTTTGAGATTGAGAAAGTTGTGGTATGCATTACGAAGACATTGACAATCGATTCCAGGCTTGAATATTTTAATTTGGCTGTTTTTTTCAGTCCTCCATATTGAGCTTAGTCGTGTTCTTTGAAGAAAAACCAGCAGAAAACATACCCTAACTTTAGCTTCCCAGAGCATTTCTCACTTTTATTTTAATCCACATTAACTGATGAGTCATAGATTCACATAATTGTTGATTATTATTAAATCATGCACAGGCCTGGGCCAGTGGCCAGTTGGGCCATTAATGGAGGTAGCCATATCTCTGTTTATCTCTTCCTTTATTCTCCTTCTTTACATCTTTCTTTCTGTTAGAATGTGGTCGAGTTAGCTTGGCTTGAGTGACGACAGCTGTCCACTCTCCTCTACAAAAGATATCTGAACTAAATGGAGCAGCAGAGTTTGTGTAATAGAACAGGCCCTGTGGACATGCGTTATTCAGTGAGTCTTCACCTCATGAGACCACAGTCATTTGAGTAGCTCACAGGGTATGAACCTTTGTAATTGCAGGTTATAGTGGGTAAATGCCCCCCCAGGCAGCAGAGAAATCCAGTAAAGATTATTATGTACATGTACCTTGTGTCACGCTTTTGAACCTCGTTCCATGGAGCACCTTTAATACAAATTTAGGGGTATAAAAGTTTACAATATATATTTTATATATACAATATATATAATTTTGTGAACATTTCCTTGTTCGGCATGTCATGTTTTGTGGGAGGTTCAAGAAGTCTTAGTCCCGAACTGAGAATTATCAGGCAACACTTGGAGCAGTAGTAACACGGTGTTCGCCCTCATAGAATGAGTTAGTCTGGATGGGTGGGGTCTGTGTTCGTAGTCTGAGATGTGTTAGACACGGTGCTAAGTACCTCAGAGTGGGGTTGGGGGATTCTTTGCATTGGTGAGTGGTTCCCATGGCAACAGAAAGAATCTGAGAGTAAGCTTGCGATGGAGCACACCAACCTGTTCATAACCTGGTCGTATAGGCATGTAGGCATGTCCATCGTGTGGCATCATGCATGTTTCTTATCTTATCACTCCTATCAATGAAATGTTTGTCATGTTTGGTACTAGGTGAGGCGAGGGGCAGCTTCTAGACTAAGAAGCTGTGGGAGAAGACATAGCTAACACTTTCACTACTGCGTTCCTGCCTCCATGCTCCTCTGTATTTGTTCACTTCCATCTCCATATTTTCTTCATTACCATCAGCATGTTTCACTGTACTCTTCTCCTGTTCTTTGCTCTCCTACCCTCTTTTCATTTCCCATCCCTCACCCCTCTCTTCACCTTTCATCTCTTATTGCCTCTTGCACTCTTGTGTCCTCTCCTCTCCTCCTCTCCTCTACTCTCCTGTCCCTGCCCCCTCCCTTTTCTTCCGTCCTCCTCTCTTCTCCTCCATGCTCTAGAGGTCAGCTAGACCTGAAGCCTTTGCTGCAGGGCTCTGTCTGATATGTTTGATATATTAGGTTGTTATTCAGTCCAACTATATATCAAACATATTCCTACAGTGTCCCGCCCTGTCTCCAGACTCGTGTGCTCTGTGTGGTGCGAGTGAGTAGGAGTGTGTGCAGCCAGCGGTGCGGCATGTTCACTGGTTCCAGATGTGCGTGCGTGTGTGTGTTTGTGTACAGTGTGTTCAGTACAAATCCGTTTGCAAAGGTGGTATGCAAGGGTTTGGCTCGAGTTCTGGAGAACCATTGTGGCTGGGTGGTACTGCATGGAGCAATGCTAAACTGAATCAGTGTGTAATTGTTCCTCAGTGCCACAAGGTGTCACCCTTTAAGAGATGCTGGACAGATAAATAGTCACGTTCATCCTAGAACCAATGCTTCCACAAAGGCGTTGTTCAGATACCATTATGTTGAAGTTTCTCATCACTTTCTGCCTTCAGTTGTATGCATAGACTGCATATGCATCCTTCAACCAGCCGACTCAACGTCCCCGCTCTGTTTAGGGATTGAAAATAAGTTTGGAATCATTGTCGTAATTCTTGTTATTTCATATATAAGAATAACTTACACTAATAACTCTTAGAAAAGGTGCCACAAAGGGTTCTTTTGAGTGATGTCATTAGTGATACCACTGTTTGAAAAAGAGATTTGAGAATGTGAAGAAAGATCCTTCACATAATATCAAAGGTTCTGTACCAATTTACAGGTTCTTCCTAGAATCTTTACATTATGTAAAGATTTTTTAAACTTAAAGAATGTTCTTCATACTCACACATCTCATTTACAAAATTACTTCTCTAAAGAACCATCTATTGAAAGGTTCTTTAAGGAACTAAAACTATTCTTTTATGGCAAGGGTGTCCGATCTTATCTGCAAAGGGCTGATGTGGCTGCACTCCAAACATACTGAAGCACACCTGATTCTGCTTGTATAATTAGTTGGTCTTAGTCTTCATTTCATCAGGTGACCTCCTGCTTTGTTGGAGTGAAAATCTGCAGCCATACCGGCCCTCTGCAGATAAGATTGGATGCCCCTGTTCTATGGCATTGTGCAAAGAACCCCCTTTAGCACATTATTATTATTAGCGCAAGAGTGAAAGGACAAAAGCTATTTCTTTTATTATTTAATAATTGAAGTAATTTAAGAATAAAAGAATTTATCCAGTGATGAACAGTAATATACTGTAATTATCCACTCACAGTATTTTTTTGTCAAAATCTACCAGAAGGTTTTATTGCCACTTTTGAAAAACCAAGTAATCTCGGTATTCATTTTATTAAAACATTTGTTCTTGTTGTTCTACAGTTCTCCTAGTCATTTTATCTTCCATAGCTGTTCATCATTCTGGACTCCAAAAGTACTTTTTTTTGTTACAGCTTTGTTACAGCTGGATTCTAATGATCTAAAACCTGTAAAGTTGCACAGGCCTGGCATATTAGAATGATTTTATACATTTACCTGTACTCAGATGGTTTTGTTGATTCTAAACTTTTGAGAAGTGATTCCAAACTTCAACAGTATATTGTATGTCCAGTTTTATCTCTGACGAGCTGTTGTAATCACTGCATCATTTTGCTTGCAGCAAGCAGATGAATCATTGGACTTTGAGGAGCAGATTTTGGAAGCAGCCAAGTCCATTGCAGCTGCAACCAGTGCTCTTGTGAAGTCTGCATCAGCTGCACAAAGAGAGCTGGTGGCCCAGGGGAAGGTATGAGAACTACAGGTAGACGATGTCTGGGTGGTGAGAAGTATATGTCATTACCATTCTCTGACCAAGTTTGTTTCTCTAGGTGGGTTCTATCCCAGCCAATGCAGTTGATGATGGCCAGTGGTCCCAGGGTCTCATATCAGCGGTGAGTAGACAGGCACATTCATTCATTCATTCATTTATCCATTATCTTTACTTTGCCAGCGCAGAAGAAATTTTCCTAGAAGTTTAGGAGTTTTTTGTTTTTGTTTTGCTATATATTAAGTTTGCACTGCAAAATTATTTACATGTATGTAGTTCGGTAAAATATAATTACAAAGTTATCTAATAATTGCATGTACTTTTTTAAATTGTCTGTACCTCCTTTTCTTCTTTTCTTAATTTGACATTTGACATTTGAGGTTTTCAAATAATAAAATACCTTCTTTAATCTACACATATTTGTATATATATCGCTGTTGTCGGAACAAAACCTTGTATCCCCATTTCTGTTGTTTTTTTCAGTTTTTGGCATAACTTGAAAATGCCTGTTGTCCTTTACATTATGGGTGACGTTCATGATGAATGAACCAAAAAACAACCCAAAATTACTCAGACAAACGTTTGGTTCCATTGACTTACATTTTATACATATAGAAGTTTAGATGGGATGAGAACAAAATAAGAGGCATTTCAAAGTGCAATGAGGGACCAAGGCCAGTCAAAAGAAAGTTCCTATAGCAGTGTGATTAAATGTGATTCAATTCATTTTCAATGTCTTTCTCTGCCACGCAGGCCCGCATGGTAGCAGCTGCCACTAGTAACCTGTGTGAGGCAGCCAATGCCTCTGTGCAGGGTCACGCCAGTGAGGAGAAACTCATTTCATCTGCCAAGCAGGTAGCTGCTTCCACCGCACAACTGCTGGTGGCCTGCAAGGTGAAAGCTGACCAAGACTCCGAGGCCATGCGGAGACTACAGGTCCGATTAGCCTTAAGACTGATGAGTGCCTTTTAATGAAGAACTGTGCTAGGAAGTGAAAATCAATGTCTTTGTTCAGTGAAAAAAGTGACAGCACAATGTGACACTTTCAAGCTGCATGCTGTAAAAGCTTTATCCTTTTCTAAGACGTCAGTAAAAAGGCTATGTTAATGTTATGTCCGCAGTCTGCTGGCAATGCAGTGAAGAGGGCATCAGATAACCTTGTGAAGGCAGCTCAAAAAGCAGCATTTGACAAAGCAGAGGACGACAGCGTGGTGGTCAAGACAAAGTTTGTGGGTGGAATCGCCCAGGTGAGTTTTTTCTGTATATACGCTCATAAAATGAAGGTGCCAAAAAATGTTCTTAGGAGCAGTGTCTTAGCAGAACCTTTTGGTTTCGTAAAGCAATCTAAGGCCCACTTTGTAGATAGTAGGTGCCAGTGTTTCCCCCTTTGCCTCGTTTAGTGGCCAATGTATGGACATGAATTGTAATTGATTGAAACATATTTTGCACTGCGATGGACTGGCGACCTGTCCATTGACCACTGGGATAGGCTCCAGCTCCCCCGTGACCCAGAAGAATAAGCGGCTTAGAAAATGTGTGCGTGTGTGTGTGTGTGTGAAACGTATTTTATTTTTCAGAACATTTCATAACATCTGCCATTTTAAACAAGTACCACATTTGTAGATCTGGCCAACAGCTAAGTAGAGATACAGCTTCTGAAATGTTTCGATGGCCCTCTCTTAGCACCCCCCTGCAGCCCCCAGTTATGACCCCAGTTTGAGAACCACTCCCTTAAAGAACCTTTTAATGCGGAGTTCTTTAAAGAATCATTTTAGTAATTGAACTTGTTTTTCTAGAGCCGTACATTCAAGCAAACACACGGTTAGAAATCTATATATTTATGGCTGTACTACATATTTTTAGGTTTTAGCACCACTTTTTTATTTGCTACAGCAATACTTCATCCGTCTGTTCTGTGTAGTCCTCTATGGTTTGATCTTTGTCTTTTTCTCCTTCTTTTACTTCTTGAACTGGTGATGTTCTGAGGGATTGTAGCTGCTTTGAATGCACACCGCATTGGAAATGTGCTGTATTTCAAAGAGGTGGTGGTTTACCAGGCATCCTCAGCTGCCTCTCATGCTTGTCTTGAGAAGCACTCACATTCCTGAGCCTCACTTAAGAGCCTATGCACTCCCTTTTCATCCAGGAGCAGCTGAGTCACTGAGGAGTGGATGTGTGTCTGTTCAAAGCCCTGGCCCCTCTTTTTGTTCCTCAGCAATGCTTTGTCTTCATCTAAAGAGGGCATCCAAACATTGTAGTCGTCTAAGAAAAGGGCTGTGAGAAACTAGGCCATGCGTGTGTTTGTGTATGTATGCATGCATGCATGCAATATTTGCAGCCAGCTCCTCCTTTGAAGGGAAGCGTCTCTTACAGTGTTGGTCTCTTTAACGTGTTCCAAGCCTTAATCCGCACCCATTCCCAAATCTCTCAGATCCACAAGTGAGAAAACCCAGCAAAGCTAACTCCCCTGTTTCTGCCTGTACACATACAAAACAGGGAGAACAAAGGTAGCAATTTAATGCAACATAAAGCTGTGCTTATCTGTATACAGTACATGCATTACAGGTTGCATTTTTAATGGCTGCACAGCTCATAAAGCGTGTTTTAAAACTAGGGTCTGCCTCAGGCAGTGGTGGGCTTGAAGAGGAAACAGACTGCTAAAATAGGAGAGAATGAGTGTCAGATGTCACGCACCACACAATGAAAGCTATTTACAAAAGTAAACAAGCCAAATGCACAATGGCATTTAACAGAGAGTTAACCAAAAAGAGCATGTATAAAAGAGAAAGGGAGAAAACATGCAAAGTTGAGTAATTCTAGAGTTATTCTTGCATGGAAATTTCCTTAAATTAAAAAAAAGGTCCTCTCTTCAGAAAATAGATGCATAGAAGATTCACTGATGTTTTTTATGACTCTGAAGTCATGTTAATTACAGGCTCGACTGGAATAAAACGCACTGAAAGCATTTTGCTAACCCACTGGAACTCAAGACAGTGCCCAAGATGAAGTGTTATGGCCTACAGATAGAATATTATGAAAGTGGATACTGCAATGCCATGTATGACTCTTCAGCCTTCTTCTTACATTCAGAAGGGCTAGGAAGACTTAGAATACTTATCCGAGATTAGCTTGTGACTAAGTTAATTAATTCAGTTAAAGGAGAATTTCACTGATAATTTAGAAATTTGTGTATAATTCAGTAGATTTCAGAGTAAACAAAGTCACTCAGAGTGTTTTGATGCAAAATGGTACATTGTAAGGAAACTTGTTAACTAATTTCTCCACGTGGTGGTAATAGGAACGAGGGATTGCAGTGTCTACAGCGCAAATGTAACTTTTTTATTCACTGTCCAAAATGACCAGTGAACATCAGTTGTCTTCTGAGTTTTTATATGTAATGTTGGTAAAATGGTGGTTAAACTGAAAAATATGTTTTCTTTGGGGACTGTTTGGCCTTTCAACACCCTGCATGTACTTTTCCACCGTGAATGGACTTTAAAAATGCATTTTAGTTCAAAATCTTTGTAACACAATGTCTCAGACATCAGGTAGCATATTTGTAATCATTACATATAACAACTTTCTGTGAGGTAACTTTTAGATAAACTCTCGAGGCGTCTGCTTCCTGTCACCACCACTGTGAATAATTCTGACTTGGCAAGCATTAGAACGGAGCAGTTCACCTCAAACAACTCTGAATGACTTTGTTTACATCCTAACGATTGAATTATGCAGTACTTTTTTTAAAAATCGATGGACTGCCTCTTTAATTCACTTCTTCCAGACAAGTGACAAGCCTGAATCTTTGTTTCATCTTTGCAGATCATTGCAGCGCAGGAGGAGATGCTGAGGAAGGAGCGAGAGCTGGAGGAGGCACGGAAAAAGCTGGCGCACATCAGACAGCAGCAGTATAAATTTCTGCCCAGCGAGCTGCGGGAAGATCACAGCTGAGCGCTGACAAAAATACAAGACTGATGGACTGTGATATTACCAGTGAAGTTGGCTTCTTACCTGCCAGTGTCTGCCATTAGTTTTGGAGCAGAATTGTTATCTCTGATTGACTACTCTTCTCATAGGTGGAGACAGACATTATGTGATGTGGCTGGTATGTGATTGGCTTTTCACTCACAGACAGGTGGGATCCTATGATTGGCTGTTCTCCTCACAAGAGCATGGAGTTTTTATTTGTGGCTGGTTGCTCTTTTCACATAGGGCTATTGTTCTTTGTTTTTCTCTTCTCTGTCATTTACTGATGAAGTTTGAACTTCTGGCTTATTGTGAGAAGCACTGGCAGTTTTTGTCTGTGTGGGTGTGGAGGTATGAGCGCAGATGCATATATTTGGGTGTGAACGTGTGTGATAGCTGTATGCCGGCCTTTGGAAATAAGACTCCAGGACTCCTAATGATAATAATAATCATAGTACTCTTAACTTAACAGTCGTACCTGTGAGTAAATCATACATATTTTTGTTTAAGTACGCAAAGATACTATCTCTATTATGCTTGATGTCTATGGAGATCTGAAAGCTCAGATTAAAATCTTATGAGCTTGTAACGTACAATATAATGCCCATTCATAAGCTTTCGTAACTTATATAGGAATACCGTTCTTGAGTGATGTTCTGCATCAAAAATAATAATCATCTGATGCCTTTGCTAAAGCACTCAACATAAACATATCACGAAGGCTAAAAACTATTGTAGGATTGTGTTGTATTCAGCTAGACATAGCTGAGGAATTATAAGACTGCGTAGAAGCTGTATGCCTGTGCATTGTTGTATTATTTATTGATAAGAGAATTGTAGCCGAGTCACAGAAGCTCCTCACCAACAGCACTACAGTTATGTATGATCTGTTGTGAATTAGTGGTGAAACAAAGCAGGCAAGACTAAGATAGATACCATTCCATCATGAAGTTTGAAGTGATGAAGCACTCTTCAGGTATACCTCAGACGTTGTTAACACATTTCAATGGCATATTTACAGCCATATTCTCGACCTGTCTCTAACATGCAGTCAAGTGTACTGAGACAAGTCCTTAATCTCTGCTTCGGTCAATTTGTCAATCAGTTACTCTAAAATGCACGAAAACACAAATATCATGTGTGTTAAAAGAAGATTTGAGGGTGTACGTGCATGGCTCATTGGAATTACAAATACAAATACAAGAGACAACACAGCACTTCTAGCTTTGTAGGATGCACTGACATTGTCTGTATTTCAGTGTACTCTTCTCTGCAAATAACACAAGTACATATGCTTCTTGTGAACTTGGTAGACATTAGTGAGAAAATTGTGGTTTCCTTTGAGATGGATATATAGCTATTCCCTTGTTTGTTTGTTGTTTGCATATTAAGAATTACACAATGTGGCACTTCAGCAGTACGTATATTGTGCTAAGGTTTTCTTGTGTCAAACTGCAATACCCCACGCTCCAAATTTGGACTGCATTGTATATTAGTGCCTTATACTGTCTGATTTAAAGTGACTGCTGATACAAGTTGCCCTTTTACACTGATCAAGGAACCAAACCTTAACCTCAACTGCTATAAGAAAAACCACAAAGCTGGTCTTAGATCAGTGGAAGGGGGCAACTTCTACCAGTAACTGATAAGTACAGTTTTATGTCTTTCTGGGAAGGAAAATGGTGTACCTTATAATAGTCTGGGCCTTTTGGATGTCGGCAGTGTTGTGTCAGGTCTGAGCCTGGTGTCGGGTTTAAACTCCAGGGCCATGACAGTCGTCTGAGTCTGCTCTGCCGTATTGTTCTACCTAATGTGGCCTGAAGCTCTTGCCTTGGTAGACTGCTCAACTGCCAGCCATAATTATCTCTAGGAAGTGATGGTGTGTAACAGCATCACCAGTCACACATACTATAATGGTGAATAGGAAGAGTAAAAAAAATTGGTAATACTTTACTGTAGGGCAGCGTTCATAAGGCTATATGACGCAGACGTAAGCTTGTCATGACAACTGATAAACTTACATAAACATTTATATAGGTGTCATCTGTCTTAAAGGCGGTTTTGGTAACACTTTACTGTAGGGTATGGTTCATAAGGCTACATGACACCTACATAAACTTGTCATGACAACTGACATAGACCTACATAAACGTTTAGAAATGCTTATTCCAATAGGTGTCATTTGCAATGAAGGTTACATTTGACAGTTTTGATCAAAGCTAGCTAAAGTAGCCTTTATGGCAGATGGTGCCTATAGGAATAAGCATTTATAAATATTTATGTAGGGTTGTGTCAGTTGTGATGACAAGCTTATAAAACCTGCTTTACTTAAAGAGCACAGAAAATGCTCACTTTTGTTCAACCAGCCTGACATGGCATGTCATTATCAGTGTAAGGTCACTGTGACATACTCTGAGCTGCAGAGTCTGTCATGTTATCTATGCCAGAAAACCTGACATAGATGTTGTCAGCTTGACATCAAAGTTGGCAAATGCAACTTTTCTGACAAATGATGCACGTAAGTGTATATAAAAGTTTATGTATTTCTATGTCAGTTGTCATGAAGGGCTTATGTAGGTGTTGTGTAACCTTATTAACACCACCCTACAGTAAAGTATTAACAAAAATACTGTATTTCATACGCATGTATCTATTCTTTTCATCACACATAAAGCCCTGATCAGAATCTGCTAAAAGAAAACACAGCCGCCCCAGAATTGACTTCTAGTTTACTAACAGAAAGCCTATGGTGCCCATACATATCGCTGTGGTTTACTTGATGTGGTCTTGTTATGGTTTTATTGTTGGAGGACTTCTTGTAGTCGTACCAAAAACCTGCCTGCTGGTCGCAGCGAATCCTGAGTGAGGCTTTAAAGGAAATTACATTACAGTTACACTTGAAATCAAAGAGTACTTTCCCAAATTTCTCTTCAATAAACCACTACATACATGAAGTTTTTGTATTAAGTAATAAATGTAATGAAGATATTGCAATATGTGGTTAAATATGTGGTGTCTTTCAGTGGAGCAGAAGAAAAAATAAAAAAAAGAACTAGCGCCTTCATTTGAACTAGAGTTTAGGGCTTTCTTTAACTGACTGAAATAGTCACAATAATGAAATAATGACAATGATGCTGTATGTAAAATATTTATCTGGTCACGAAGATATTTTTTGTATTCCCTGAAAATAAAGAGTTTCAGCAAACATGGAGTTGTACAGTTGTTTGTGTTCTGCCTTTTGTTCGTGTACGCTGATTTCCTTGAAGCTTGTTTAGCACGTCTGCCTTGTTTTCCTCCAGAACAGAATGACATTTGCTGTTTAGCCCACTTCCTCTACTGACTTGTCTAAGTGGGCAGGGGTAAGAATGTCCAAGCACAGTAAATCAAACCATTCCAGATTGATACTGACATAAACACTGACACCAAAGAATGCACTCGCAGACTCTCTGGGGCCTCGCTTAGGTTCAATTTTAAGCTAGAATAATATTTGTATAACCTCACAGATATGGCTATATACGACCCTGTAGATTTTTGATTGTTTGCTCAACATACCCTGTGACAAATTCTCTCCTGTAGGTGTCGCTGTTACACCTCTCAGCTGCGGTCAGAGTCTTTGTGTGGTTTGAGAACTAGCAGTGAGCCAAATTTCTGTCTGTGTCCAAATAAGGACATATGGTAGTTTTGTGCTAGTCCACAGACAAGACTTTGAACTGTAAGAGTACAGTGGCTTTGTCTCTGTACAGCCAAAAAGAGGCCCTTAACATTCATAAAGCACTGAATATACTGTGAAAACTGTTTATATATTTTACAAAAAGCCAAATAAATATATCAGCTACCTTCTGTATCATACTGCATCATATTTGTAATAAATGTCTGAGCATTGCAGATGTCCAGCCCATTACTACTGAAGAGTAAAGGCTGTCTAATGAGCTCCATATTAGGTCTCTAGAGCAATGTGTGCCATTCCTCCACACCCAAATTACACACACCAGAGAGAGGGAGGAAGCTCTCTGGAGAAATTTAAAACATCTTTATGAGTTTCTGATTTTATGTGACACACTACAAATGCATAAATGACATGTAAGTTCAGTCTGTTTCTTACTTCACTGTTCATTGTTTCTTAATGTTAGGAAACAGCAAAAGGTCACTGCTTCCATGGCAGTCCGTATGTCTATAAGGGAGTTTATTTCTTTAGTTGCTAATTTTGAGCTGGTTCCTTCACTGCAGTTCAGTGAGTGGTGAAGAAACCTGGATAAACTGTTGAAATCTTTGCCAAGTTAAATTCATGCAGGGTGCGTGTTGTGGCTAAGTGGGAGCTGATTCAGCTCTGTCCTACACTGTAAAACAGTCATGCAGAGTGCTGAGCTGCAGCAGGACTGTAGGCCTGTTTGAAGTGTGATCTTCAGTGCGATATGTGGTTAATGACAGAGACCCTGGAGTGGCCCCCACTGAGGGGCCCAGGGGAGTCACTGTAATCTGCCAGTAACCTCTTACTTCAACTTTGTTCCATGTGTGTGTGTGAATGACAGTCATTGGCTCAGTGCTCTGTGGTGTGTTTGAGCGTACAATGACTGAGCATCCTGTGCATTAATGTTTTGCATATTTTATTAGAACAGCAAGTTAATGTGATGAATTCGATCTTACTGACTTAAAGAGCTCATATCATGGAAAACCAGATTTTCCTTGCTTTTTGTTAAAAGAGTTCAAAGTATTAAGCAAACATTGCTAATGTTTCAAAATGTAGTATTTACTCCATATATGGAAATTAAGCTGCAAAAAGTGTCCCTTTTTGAATTAGTCATGTTTATGATGTCACAACCATTAATGCATTTCCATATGTAGATACACTTTGTTCTGAACATTTCAGCTTTTTAAAGGCACAGTGACAAAACAGCCTGTGTGGTCAAGTGAAGTATAACTGGTTTTGATACATAAAACCACAAAACAATAATAAGTGTATTTCAGATGGAACAAAATAAAAGGATGTGGGCCCTTTGAATGAAATGTTTACAACTTCTGTTTCAAAAGTGTTTTTGTAGTGATTGTTTCAAAAGTCCTCTCTTCTTCTGAAAAAAACACTTTTTTCCTTTTACATGAAAGACATCAGGACAAGCCATGACTAAGCATCCTTTTCATTAGTGTTTTTACTAAATGTGTCATTAATGAACAGTGTCTTAGTATGACTTAAAAACATTGTTAAAGTTTTAAAATGTACTGTTCACTCACCGTTCCATATATGCCAATTAAGCTGCAAAAACATCCCGTTTTGAATTCATTGTGGTTGAGACAATTGTTGTGGTTCACAACAATTAATATATGTGCACAGGAAATTTTCCAAACTTTCAGCCTTTAGACTTCTTTCTGAATAAAGCACAACATTGGGCTGTCAATCAGAACAGTGTTAATTTACATATATATCAGTCTTGAAGACACACTAACAAAAAGGAGCTTGTTTAATTTCTAAGTGTTAAAGAGAGGTTGCAAATTGTCATGTAAAAATTATTTAGAGCTGCTTTTGGTACATAAAACCAAATGAACATAAATTCAGCGGGAAACAAATAAAATGCAAGAAAAATATAGGATTCCTCCCTTTATATGTCCATCCATCCCTCTTCTAAGCCACTCATCCTTCTGGGTTGCGGAGCTTATCCCGGCATTAGTTGGGCTGAAGGCAGGAAGCACCCTGGATAGGTCACTTGTCCATCACAGGGCAGACAGACAGACACACATATACATTCACACACACACTCACACCTAGGGGCAATTTAGCAATTGGCCTGACTGCATCTCTTTGGACTGTGGGAGGAAACCCCACGCAGGACCCTGGTCACCCAGCCAGGGAATCGAACCCAGGCCCTTCCTGCTGTGAGGCGACAGCGCTACTCCCTTTAAATGTATCACACAAATTTTGATTCAAAAGTGTTTTTATAAAATGAGTCAAAGTAGTAGACACACCAAGTTAAAGGGCTTAGAGTGTGAGTTTGCAAAGTGCATAAAATAGACTGTTTCATGTATATTTACAAGTAGTTGCTATATATCAAGTTGAGCCTAAACAATTTTTACATCTTCTAAATCATGCAGTACTATAAGGACTGTTATATAATCAGTTGAGCCCAGTGCAGTCCCTGTGGTCTTTCTTATCCCACTCTTTCCAATCGCTGATGATCCATCTCCTGTTTCCTGCAGGAATCTGGTACATTTTTGTGAAATGAGAGGCTAGATTGGGCACTTTGTTTAGCTTGTGCTAGTCTTATACCACAGGAATGAAGCTGGTACTGAGGAGAAATGGAGTGGTCTAATAACACAGCGTTTCTCCCACATACCCTTCAATGATCTATAGCTGTAGATGAGAGAGACAGAAAATCAGCTAAGCTGTGAAAAACGTGGCGCAATATGTCAGCTAGGATAGATTCTGAGTATGGGAGAAAAGTATGTGCCTATTTCCTCAACAGCAGATTAAATTCTTTTACGGTATGTGGGTTCTGTGAAAGGTGTTTATAATATTTTCTATTGCCATTGTGTTTACTTTTGCTTAAAAATGGCTTGGAAAGCCGACTGTAGATGAGGAAAAAGTTCATAAAAACGTTGAGTATATAGAATTGCATGAGTGCATGAGTTAGAGCTCTAGAGTGAAAATCGGTTCTGTCTGCTCTGCTCTTATGGAAGCCGATCCAAGATAAGTAAAGGCTAGAATTGGAAGTAATTCAGAGAGCATCATGCTTTTTTCTCATCTAAATCCATTCTAGTCTCCTACCGCTGCAGAGAGCCAACTGGACCCGCTTCTGCTTCTCCCACAGAAACTTGAGAAAGGAAAGAAAAGAGTTCGGAGAGGGAGAAACGTCTTTGCATGTGTCAGGAGAGGAATTTTTGCCAGTGGTTTCTAATTTTTTCTTAAATCAAATTAGATTACACTCATTTATAAGTCAGTCTAGATTGTATTTCATTTGATAAACTCATGAATAAAATGCATGGATAGTAAAAAAAGGCCATGTACCACCATGGTTTTGATTTTCCATCTTCAGGACAATCTAATTTCCAAGCGTAGAGGCATACTATGCTTCCATTACCCTCGTTTATTTTCATTG